TGGTAATAAATTTGGAATTAATTTGGGAATTGTACATTTTGGGAGAGGAGGTATGAAATGTTCAGGGCATAACGGCAAGTCTTTATGTGAATCATGAAGTTGAGTTGGATAATCTAAATCTACTTCAAGAATGTATCCTTCTTCTGAATCATCTGGAATATTCAAGAAAAAGTCATTGCTATAATTTTCAAACCATTCAAAATCTGTATAAGGCAAGCTTTCGCTCATAGAAGCACCATACTGATTATTTATATCGAAATACATAATGTAAGATTCTGGTATTAGGGGATTAAAATCTTTTTCCATAAATCTATTATTAGCTTTCGCGTATCTGTTTGAGCATTGTGAAACTCCACCTCTTATTCCCTTTTCAATAAAAAGCAACATTTCTACATCTGTCAACAAATCAAGCTTTACGTCTGTGTACTTGAGCATAGCGTCAAATGCCAGTCCTGGGGCAGTATAGTAATGTAACGCGTCCAAGTTATAAGTTGTAAAGCATGTTTTTCTAAAATTTTCAAAAATGTCGGCAAGTAGTAGAACGTCAGTCTGTAAATACAAGTCAGAGTATTCTCCTATTGTTTTTAAATTAAACGTTTTCCATACGTTACAAGCATGTTCATAGTCTTCGTCTGAAATATGAGCGTCATTTAATTTAGAGTAGAAAGAGTCTTTTACTGGCAATTGACCTTCTTCTAATTTTTCCCAGCTACTAACATATTCGTAAGGAAATATTCCTTTTCTTGTCAATAAATTAAACTCGTTCATATTTTTACAATACTTTTTAGTAATTTTTTTCTCATCATTTTCAAGATAGGAGGATAATTTGTCTAAACTGCTGGGCATAAATCTAAATGAATCAAGAAATCTTAATACTACTTTGGTACCCTTCACATATTTTGAAAATGAAATGTACTTTTCTTTGTTTATTGGTAACAGTTTCATTTCACCCTCAAAAGACGTTGCTAAAGCTTTAATAATGAAATGTGCATCATATCCTGACAAGTTGTGAAAAATTATGGGAACAACATGCGAATCTTTATAATTTACATTGCAACCTTGATGTGCTGGACCACGATATTTTCCCGTGAAATGACAATGATCGCGGTGTTTAATGTCATCATTTTCAAAAGGTTTTTCACAAATATGACAAATTGTTGCTGTGTCAAATTGAATTTGTTGTAAAATAGTTAAATTTTCCATTGGAATAATATTTGTAAAATAAGTATTTGCTTTTTCAGCCAATTGTTCTAATTCAGCCATGAACCAATCAACACAATCTGGACCTCGATATGATTTAAATTCTGAAAGAGATTCATTAAAATTGCAATGTACATAGAAAGCAAAACTTGTCGGGATATGTTTTTGGTATGTTGATGTGTTTGTGTGTGTACTTGCTATAGGTTCTAAGAGACTTTCAGTGTCAGCATACACGACAAAGGGAACACTTTCTTTATTTCTGTAATTTTTAAATTTTAAAATTTTATCCTCTTCATTAGGCAAAATTACTCGACACATGTTTATTTTATCACAATCAATTTTATGATTATTAAATGATTTTTCATATTTAAAATGGCATAAACATCTATCACAAAGTATGGTTCGATTATGATCTTTTGTTATTTGAGATTTTACTAAACGAGATAAATTATTGATTAATGCAAAATGATAAACTTTGTTATTTTGAAAATTATTATTATCATCATCATCGTCTAAATCAAGTTCTGTATTTTCAATCATTAATAAGTGATAAGTACGTTCATTTGATTTGTTTTTACTTAAATAAAGTGGAATAATTTCATTCTTTTTATTACTGCTTTTATCAATTCCGTACACATTAATATTTAAATTGTTTAATTTTTCAAATTTTGGAATATCGCTGAGAGAAATGGGGAATTCAAAATCATCAAACTTTAAATCAGTATCTTTAAAGTGGGGATATGAACTTGTACGATCAACGTGACTATTAGCTGGATAACGTTGTGCAATTATTGACCATAAAAAACAGAATTTGTCATTATTTATAACATTAATAACAGCTTTTTTATCAATTATAAATTTTGGCATTCTTATAAAAGTTGAGTATCCAGCCGCAAGAGGCACATATTTATTTATATTAACACTTAAATTTATAATTTCATTTAAAGACCAACCTGACTTTTTTTGTTGAAAATCATCAATCTTAACAAAAAGTTTTTCACGAATTTTATGATCAAACCATTCATCAAAGTTCGTTGATTCTAAAATTTTTGAATTTCTAGTATTGAAATATTTAATATCATCAATTTCCTCACCTTCTTCTAAAACAGTATAATTTGCCGCAAGAACAACATTAACTTTCATGTTTCCCACCTTTTTAAATGCATTTTTTAATCGAGAAATAATCATTTTCTTTGCATCACTGAGAAAACTGTCCATATTTTTATGTTTTAAATTAATAACAACACCTGTTCTAATTCTATTCTCGAAAGCATTCTCTAATTCTTCCCACCTGATCCATCTCTCATCCTTTTTAAATAAACCAGTTCCTGTTCTTCTTAGTTTCTTAAACTTTCTGCTATTTGCTTTCAATAGTCCAATAGTTGACAAAATCTTTTTTTTCTCTCCACATGACACAGATCCATTTCTTAACAATTTATTCAGTAATCTAATGTTTTTTACACTATTATTTATCCAAAAATTTAATTCCTCTGTTGTAGTTTTTTTACTTAATGTTTTAAAAGCATTGTTCATAATTTTCACAAAATCTTTACAATAGTTAGAGGTTTTATCAGTTTCCATAACTTTAATTGCTGCATTTAATTTATCCAAATTCATTTTTATCACTTGTATTGAAACTGTCAATTTTTTTCACTACAATGATTAACTCCGATCAGACTAAAATTGAACTTTTAACTATAGCGATTTTTTTAAAACGAGATTTTTTAAGCGCACTTGAATTTCACGATGTTTTTCTGATATGTTGATTGAACAACTTAAACTGCAGGAATGATTTTGTTAAGAAAAATTGCCTTCTTTATATACACAAATTATGACTAATTTTATTTCAAGTTAATTATGGTTTTCTTAGAATTGTGGTAAAAAACAAAAACAGGAAATACCAATGATAATGAGTCATCAATAAAAAATTCCAAAACTCTGAGTCATCAACCCCTATTTTGCGAGAAACAAAGAAATTATGTCATCGATAAAGAATGCACCATGTAAAAAACAAAAACAGGAAATTCCAATGATAATGAGTCATCAACCCCATTTTGTGAGAAACAAAGAAATTATGTGTCATCGTTAAAGAATGCACCCTGCAAAAAACAAAAACAGGAAATACCAATGATAATGAGTCATCAACCCCATTTTGCGAGAAACAAAGAAATTATGTGTCATCGTTAAAGAATGCACCCTGTAAAAAACAAAAACAGGAAATACCAATGATAATGAGTCATCAACCCCATTTTGCGAGAAACAAAGAAATTATGTGTCATCGTTAAAGAATGCACCCTGTAAAAAAACAAAAACGGTAAATTCCAATAAAAAATTGCAAAATTCTGAGTCATCAACCCCTATGGAAAATTCTAGGATTGTTTTATAATTCCAAGAAATTAGATAAATTCCAAGAATCACATTTGCATCATGATCTCAATATCCCCCCACTCCAAAAATTCTAGGAAGTATGACGTCATATCCGGCTCAGCATAACAGTCAGAATATCCCCCCCCCCCAATGGATTGAGTCTTGGCTAAGTGGTTTGAGTCTGGGCTAAAAATGTCGGTAACATGTCGGTGCAGGAATCTTGGTCCAGAACGCTCCCTGTCTATCTACTTAAGTCAATAAAATTTATTCTTCAGAGGAATTCAATTATTTTCTGTACAATTTTAATAAAATTCAATTATTTTTCAAAAATTTAATAAAATTGATTGAAAGAATTAAATTATGTTAAAAAAAAAATTTGATAAAATTCTTAAGAAGAATTCAATTAATTTCGGTCTAATTTGTATTTCAAATTTCCTTGAAAGAATTCAATTATTTTCAAAAATTTTTTTTATAAAATTCTTTAGAATTCAATTAATTTCAGTAGATTTTCTAAATTTTTCTTGCGAAAATATTTCTACAAAACTTATTTTCCGAATGAGTCAATAATAAATTTGAATCTAAATAAATCTCACTTGGTAATAATTTCTAGTTATTAGAACAAAAGTGTGAAGTGAAATTTATGAAAATTAATTTTTTAATTTTACATCGAACGAGACGTGGTGAAAATAAATAAAATCCATTGTTTTTTTTTCTCTATGAATATAAATAACTAATAAGCCTTATTTTGCAGTCATAAAAATTAGTTTTTCCACAATAATTTAAATAAATATTTTTATATTTTAAAATGTTAATTAAATTCAGTAAATAAAAAAAAAAAAAATATTATATTAGAAAAAATCCCCCTCCCCAAAAAAAACAAAAAAAAAAAAAATCGTTTATTACATTTAATTTGATGAATATTTCAATGACGACTTGAGGCAAAAGAAAAGAATAATTTTTTTCTATGCGATGTTTTTATTTGTTTTATATAAACGAGTGTTTTATTATTAAAAATGATGATGATAATTAAATTGTAACAAAGTGTGACGTTAGTCTTCCTGACGAAAGTCACGCATTACAGTTTTTCTAATTATCTTTTTATTATTATTTTTCTTTCTTTCCTCCCTCCCTCCCTCTCTTCACTTCTTCTAATTTTATTTATTTATAAAATAAATGTGTGGATTATTGGAAATTGTCGTTTTCCGATAAAAAAAGCTTAAGACATTTTTTTTTTATTTTATCCTCACCTCCCACCTTCCTTCGCGCGCTTTGTATTTTATAAGAGGAGGGAGGGGGGGGGGTAAAATGAGAAGAAATGTTAGTTTCTCAGGAGGTCAATATTGAGAAAAACGGGGAAAAATCACGTGGTAATTTATATCTTTGTATATAGAGAAATATACATAGTACACTTGTATTAATCACGATTCATATATAAGAGTTTTACTTCCGAATTTTCATTATTAGTGAAATATTTCTTGATATATTTGGAACAAAGATTTTTTTCTTTTTTTTAATAAAGTGAATAATTGTGAAAAAAAGGAGGAAGAAGAAAAAAAGGGGAATTTGATCGAAAAAGTATTAATTTTTCAAATTTGTGAAAAATTGTGTTTTTTGTGAGCGTGTGAAAGAAGAGGGAAAATTATTTTTCTTGAGTAAGTAAATTTTTCGAAAATAAGACAAATATTTGTTTATTTATTTATCTTACTTTATTTATTTATAGAGTTTTTTTATTTATTTATTTTAATTATCAAAATTATTTATTTATTTATTGAACTTAATTATTATTATTATTATTACTATTATTATTATTATTATTATTATTATTATTATTATTATTATTATTATTATTATTATATTTTATTAATAATAATATATTGATTATTATTATATTCTATTTTATTTATTTTTTGTTATTTTGTTTATTTTGTCGTATTTTATTTATTTATAGTTAAAAAACTGTAAATAAATAAAATACGACAAAATAAACAAAATAACTAAAAATAAATATTATTATTTTTTTTAACAGTTTTTCGTTTAGTTTTTTTAATTATTTACAGGCTTTGCACTTATTAACTAAAACATACTATTTACTACTTTTTTTTTTTACTATTTTGATATTGTTTTTTTTAGATTTGTGACACTAAACGCTAGAATTTTAATAAAATTCGTTTGAAAGAATTCAATTATTTTCGAAAATATTAAGAACATTTTTTTGTCATGAAATCAATTATTTTCACAAATAATGAAATTCTTCGCTGATATTAAATTATTTTCAATATCTAATATTATTTTAAATTAAATATCTCAAAAGAATTCAATTATTTAAAAAAAAAAAATTTTAATTAATTTCTTTCCAAAAATTCAAGAGGAATTCAATTATTTTCAGGACAAATTTAATAAAATTGCTTGATAGAATTCAATTATTTTTCAAAAAAATTTGATGCAATACTTTTTAAGAATTCAATTATTTAAAATAATAAAATTTTCATGATATTTATTATATTTCGAAAAAAATAATTATTTAAAACAATGTTTATAAAATTCTAATAAAGAATTCACTTACTTTCAAAAATAATAAAATTTTTACAAAAATTCAATTCTTTTTAAATATTTTAATTTTAATAAACTTTTCTGCAATAATTCAATTATTTTCAAAAATAATAAAATTCTTCTCTGTGATTCAATTATTTTTGAGAATAATAATAAAATTCTATTCAAATAAAAAACAATTCAATTATTTTCATAAGTAATAAGATTCATAGCAGGATTTCAATTATTTTTAATACAATTTTACAGGAATTGCTCAAAAATTTCAATTATTCTTAAAAAATTAATTTCAATTCCTCGAAAAATAAATTATTTTATAAAATGTTTTTTTTAAATTCTATGGAAGAATTAAATAATTATTTTTAAAAATTTAATAAAATTGTTAGAAAGAAATTAATTGTTTTAAATACGATTTTAATTAAATTTTTTTGAAATAATTCAATTTTTTCAATTTTAATCAGATTTTTCTAAGAATTCAATTATTTACACGAATAATTTTTCGAAAGAAAAATTATTAAAGATTATTAAAGATAAATAAAAAAATTACCCCCGAAAATTCAATTATTTTGAGGTATTTTATTAAATTTTTTTTCAAAATTCAATTATTTTCATAAATAACAATATTCGAGTCAAGACAATTTAATAAGTAAAGTATTTTCCAAAAGCACAAAAATAATGAAGCTAAATCCCATAAAAGAGAGGGAAAAATGTTGAATTTTAAGAAAATCGGATTTTTGAATTTTTTCGAATTTTTGATAATTTTAGATTTTTTACCAAAGAGTCGAGACTTTTAAATAAGTAAAGTATTTTCCAAAAGCACAAAAATAATGAAGCTAAATCCCATAAAAGAGAGGGAAAAATGTTGAATTTTAAGAAAATCGGATTTTTGAATTTTTTCGAATTTTAGATTTTTTACCAAAGAGTCGAGACAATTAAATAAGTAAAGTATTTTCCAAAAGCACAAAAATAATGAAGCTAAATCCCATAAAAGAGAGGGAAAAATGTTGAATTTTAAGAAAATCGGATTTTTGAATTTTTTCGAATTTTCGATAATTTTAGATTATTTACCAAAGAGTCGAGACAATTAAATAAGTAAAGTATTTTCCAAAAGCACAAAAATAATGAAGCTAAATGCCATAAAAGAGAGGGAAAAATGTTGAATTTTAAGAAATTCGGATTTTTGAATTTTTTCGAATTTCTGATAATTTTTGATTTTTTACTATAGAGTCGAGACAATTGAATAAGTAAAGTATTTTCCAAAAGCACAAAAATAATGAAGCTAAATCCCATAGAAGAGAGGGAAAAATGTTGAATTTTAAGAAATTCGGATTTTTGAATTTTTTCGAATTTCTGATAATTTTTGATTTTTTACTAAAGAGTCGAGACAATTGAATAAGTAAAGTATTTTCCAAAAGCACAAAAATAATGAAGCTAAATCCTATAAAAGAGAAGAAAAAATGTTGAATTTTAAGAAAATCGGATTTTTGAATTTTTTCGAATTTCTGATAATTTTTGATTTTTTACCAAAGAGTCGAGACAATTGAATAAGTAAAGTATTTTCCAAAAGCACAAAAATAATGAAGCTAAATCCCATAAAAAAAGGAAAAAATGTTGAATTTTAAGAAAATCGGATTTTTGAATTTTTTCGAATTTTTGATAATTTTAAATTTTTTACTAAAGAGTCGAGACTATAAAATAAGTAAAGTATTTTCCAAAAGCTCAAAAATAATAAAGCTAAATCCCATAATAGAGAGGAAAAAATGTTGAATTTTAAGAAAATCGGATTTTTGAATTTTTTCGAATTTTTGATAATTTTAGATTTTTTACCAAAGAGTCGAGACTTTTAAATAAGTAAAGTATTTTCCAAAAGCACAAAAATAATGAAGCTAAATCCCATAAAAGAGAGGGAAAAATGTTGAATTTTAAGAAAATCGGATTTTTGAATTTTTTTGAATTTTTGATAATTTTAGATTTTTTACCAAAGAGTCGAGACTTTTAAATAAGTAAAGTATTTTCTAAAAGCACAAAAATAATGAAGCTAAATCCCATAAAAGAGAGGGAAAAATGTTGAATTTTAAGAAAATCGGATTTTTGAATTTTTTTGAATTTTTGATAATTTTAGATTTTTTACCAAAGAGTCGAGACTTTTAAATAAGTAAAGTATTTTCTAAAAGCACAAAAATAATGAAGCTAAATCCCATAAAAGAGAGGGAAAAATGTTGAATTTTAAGAAAATCGGATTTTTGAATTTTTTTGAATTTTTGATAATTTTAGATTTTTTACCAAAGAGTCGAGACTTTTAAATAAGTAAAGTATTTTCTAAAAGCACAAAAATAATGAAGCTAAATCCTATAAAAGAGAAGAAAAAATGTTGAATTTTAAGAAAATCGGATTTTTGAATTTTTTCGAATTTCTGATAATTTTAGATTTTTTTCCAAAGAGTCGAGACAATTTAATAAGTAAAGTATTTTCCAAAAGCACAAAAATAATGAAGCTAAATCCCATAATAGAGAGGAAAAAATGTTGAATTTTAAGAAAATCGGATTTTTGAATTTTTTCGAATTTCTGATAATTTTTGATTTTTTACCAAAGAGTCGAGACAATTGAATAAGTAAAGTATTTTCCAAAAGCACAAAAATAATGAAGCTAAATCCCATAAAAAAAGGAAAAAATGTTGAATTTTAAGAAAATCGGATTTTTGAATTTTTTCGAATTTTTGATAATTTTAGATTTTTTACTAAAGAGTCGAGACTATAAAATAAGTAAAGTATTTTCCAAAAGCTCAAAAATAATAAAGCTAAATCCCATAATAGAGAGGAAAAAATGTTGAATTTTAAGAAAATCGGATTTTTGAATTTTTTCGAATTTTTGATAATTTTAGATTTTTTACCAAAGAGTCGAGACTTTTAAATAAGTAAAGTATTTTCCAAAAGCACAAAAATAATGAAGCTAAATCCCATAAAAGAGAGGGAAAAATGTTGAATTTTAAGAAAATCGGATTTTTGAATTTTTTTGAATTTTTGATAATTTTAGATTTTTTACCAAAGAGTCGAGACTTTTAAATAAGTAAAGTATTTTCCAAAAGCACAAAAATAATGAAGCTAAATCCCATAAAAGAGAGGGAAAAATGTTGAATTTTAAGAAAATCGGATTTTTGAATTTTTTCGAATTTTTGATAATTTTAGATTTTTTACCAAAGAGTCGAGACAATTTAATAAGTAAAGTATTTTCCAAAAGCACAAAAATAATGAAGCTAAATCCTATAAAAGAGAGGAAAAATTGTTGAATTTTAAGAAAATCGGATTTTTGAATTTTTGAAAATTTTCGATAAATTTAGATTTTTTACCAAAGAGTCGAGACTATTAAATATGTAAAGTATTTTCCAAAAGCACAAAAATAATGAAGCTAAATCCCATAAAAGAGAAGAAAAAATGTTGAATTTTAAGAAAATCGGATTTTTGAATTTTTTCGAATTTCTGATAATTTTAGATTTTTTTCCAAAGAGTCGAGACAATTGAATAAGTAAAGTATTTTCCAAAAGCACAAAAATAATAAAGCTATATCCCAAAAAAGAAAGGAAAAAATGTTGAATTTTAAGAAAATCGGATTTTTGAATTTTTTCGAATTTCTGATAATTTTTGATTTTTTACCAAAGAGTCGAGACAATTGAATAAGTAAAGTATTTTCCAAAAGCACAAAAATAATAAAGCTATATCCCAAAAAAGAAAGGAAAAAATGTTGAATTTTAAGAAAATCGGATTTTTGAATTTTTTCGAATTTTCGATAATTTTAGATTTTTTACTAAAGAGTCGAGACTATAAAATAAGTAAAGTATTTTCCAAAAGCTCAAAAATAATAAAGCTAAATCCCATAATAGAGAGGAAAAAATGTTGAATTTTAAGAAAATCGGATTTTTGAATTTTTTCGAATTTTTGATAATTTTAGATTTTTTACCAAAGAGTCGAGACTTTTAAATAAGTAAAGTATTTTCCAAAAGCACAAAAATAATGAAGCTAAATCCCATAAAAGAGAGGGAAAAATGTTGAATTTTAAGAAAATCGGATTTTTGAATTTTTTTGAATTTTTGATAATTTTAGATTTTTTACCAAAGAGTCGAGACTTTTAAATAAGTAAAGTATTTTCCAAAAGCACAAAAATAATGAAGCTAAATCCCATAAAAGAGAGGGAAAAATGTTGAATTTTAAGAAAATCGGATTTTTGAATTTTTTCGAATTTTTGATAATTTTAGATTTTTTTCCAAAGAGTCGAGACAATTGAATAAGTAAAGTATTTTCCAAAAGCACAAAAATAATAAAGCTATATCCCAAAAAAGAAAGGAAAAAATGTTGAATTTTAAGAAAATCGGATTTTTGAATTTTTTCGAATTTCTGATAATTTTTGATTTTTTACCAAAGAGTCGAGACAATTGAATAAGTAAAGTATTTTCCAAAAGCACAAAAATAATAAAGCTATATCCCAAAAAAGAAAGGAAAAAATGTTGAATTTTAAGAAAATCGGATTTTTGAATTTTTTCGAATTTTCGATAATTTTAGATTTTTTACTAAAGAGTCGAGACTATAAAATAAGTAAAGTATTTTCCAAAAGCTCAAAAATAATAAAGCTAAATCCCATAATAGAGAGGAAAAAATGTTGAATTTTAAGAAAATCGGATTTTTGAATTTTTTCGAATTTTTGATAATTTTAGATTTTTTACCAAAGAGTCGAGACTTTTAAATAAGTAAAGTATTTTCCAAAAGCACAAAAATAATGAAGCTAAATCCCATAAAAGAGAGGGAAAAATGTTGAATTTTAAGAAAATCGGATTTTTGAATTTTTTTGAATTTTTGATAATTTTAGATTTTTTACCAAAGAGTCGAGACTTTTAAATAAGTAAAGTATTTTCCAAAAGCACAAAAATAATGAAGCTAAATCCCATAAAAGAGAGGGAAAAATGTTGAATTTTAAGAAAATCGGATTTTTGAATTTTTTCGAATTTTTGATAATTTTAGATTTTTTACCAAAGAGTCGAGACAATTTAATAAGTAAAGTATTTTCCAAAAGCACAAAAATAATGAAGCTAAATCCTATAAAAGAGAGGAAAAATTGTTGAATTTTAAGAAAATCGGATTTTTGAATTTTTGAAAATTTTCGATAAATTTAGATTTTTTACCAAAGAGTCGAGACTATTAAATATGTAAAGTATTTTCCAAAAGCACAAAAATAATGAAGCTAAATCCCATAAAAGAGAAGAAAAAATGTTGAATTTTAAGAAAATCGGATTTTTGAATTTTTTCGAATTTCTGATAATTTTAGATTTTTTTCCAAAGAGTCGAGACAATTGAATAAGTAAAGTATTTTCCAAAAGCACAAAAATAATAAAGCTATATCCCAAAAAAGAAAGGAAAAAATGTTGAATTTTAAGAAAATCGGATTTTTGAATTTTTTCGAATTTTCGATAATTTTAGATTTTTTACCAAAGAGTCGAGACAATTAAATAAGTAAAGTATTTTCCAAAAGCACAAAAATAATGAAGCTAAATCCCATAAAAGAGAAGAAAAAATGTTGAATTTTAAGAAAATCGGATTTTTGAATTTTTTCGAATTTCTGATAATTTTAGATTTTTTACCAAAGAGTCGAGACTTTTAAATAAGTAAAGTATTTTCCAAAAGCACAAAAATAATGAAGCTAAATCCCATAATAGAGAGGAAAAAATGTTGAATTTTAAGAAAAACGGATTTTTGAATTTTTTCGAATTTCTGATAATTTTATATTTTTTACCAAAGAGTCGAGACTATTAAATAAGTAAAGTATTTTCCACTTAAAAAAGTTTGACATTAAAAAATATATAAAAAATGCCAATACTTAACCCACAAAATTTAATTTTCAAAACAAACAAATGAATGCAGATAATTTGCTAACGGAAAGGAAACTTACGATTATTATAATGTATATTAAATTTTATTAATTATGAAAAAATGGATTTTTTAATGAAAAAATCAGGAAAATGTCAGGGAAATACAGAATCAAATTTTTGTGAATTTTTTTTAATTGTCAAACACGATTTTGATATTTTTTTTTGAAATTAATTATTTTCGAGTGCGAAGCCTGCATTTAGTTATTTTATTTAATTATTTATTGTTTTTTTCAGTAATATTATTATTATTTATTTTTAGAATGAATAAATTAGGTTCCTTGGCCGGTGGTTCTTTATCATTGACAGGAAATTCCTGCAACTCTCCATCATCTCCAGGAACGACTGTTCGTCCTCATCTTAGTGCGGCTAAAAGTGTCGACAGGTACAAAAAATTCAAATTAATTAATTTCAATTATTACTAACATAGTTTTAATTAAAATAAAAAAAAATTAGTATTTTATAGAATGAGAGGAATAAAAATGACAAAAATTGAATTTTCGAAGAATTTTATAGGAAATTCGAAAAAAAATTTGATTTCTAAAACATTTCAATTCAATTTTTTGAAAATAATTGAAATCTATCGAAAAATTTTTTTTTTCGAAAATAATTGAATTTTTTCGAATTCAATTATTTTTAATTATTAAACATTTTTTTAAAATAATTGCATTATTTCTGAAAATAATTGAATTCTTGTAAAAATTTTATATTATTTACAAAAATAATTGAATTCTTCTAACAATTTTCTATTATTTATAAAAATAATTGAATTGTTTCAAAAAAGTTAATAAAAAATAGTATTGAAAATAACAGAATTCTTAAAATAAAATTTTATCAAAATTTTAGAAAATAATTAATTTTCTTTTATAAAATTCTCTTAAAAATTATATTTATAAAAATTAAATTCCTCTGAAAATTTTACTAGTTACAAAAATAATTGAATTTTTGTAAATAATTGAATTTTTTTAAAGAAATTCTATTAAAATTGCATTGAAAATAATTGAATTTATGTAAAAACTTTGATTATATTTCTGAAAATAATTGAATTCATGTAAAAATTTTACATTATTTACAAAAATAATTAAATTATTTGGAAGAATTTTATTTAAATTTTTTAAGAATTCTTCAAGTCTTTGGCGAAATTTTACCAAAATTATTTTTAAAAATAATTGAATTCTTTTGAAGAATTTTATTAAAATTTTTATAAATAATTAAATTTTTGTGAAGATATCTATTAAAATTGTATTAAAAATAATTGAATTTCTGTAAAAAAAATTTCATTATATTTCTGAAAATAATTGAATTCTTGTAAAAATTTTATATTATTTACAAAAAAAATTAAATTCTTGTAGAAAATTTTATTACTTATGAAAAATAATTGAATTCTTTCGAAAAATTTGATTTTTTACATAAATAATTGAATTCTTTCAAAAAATTTTAATTTTTACATAAATAATTGAATTCTTTCGAAGAATTTTATTTTTTACAAAAATAATTGAATTCTTGCGAAGAATTTTTTTATTTATAAAAATAATATAATTTTTGTAAATAATTGAATTTTTTGTGTAATTTAATTGAAATTGCATTGAAAATAATAAAATTTCTGTAAAAACTTTCATTATATTTCTGAAAATAATTGAATTCGCTTGTAAAAAATTTTATATTATTTACAAAAAAAATTAAATTATTTAGAAGAATTGTATTTCAATTATTTAAAAATTATTCAAGTCTTTGGCGAAATTTTACTGAAATTGTTTTTAAAAATAATTGAATTCTTTTGAAGAATTCTATTAAAATTTTTATAAATAATTGAATTTTTTGGAGGAATTCTGTTAAAATTGCATTGAAAATAATTGAAATTCTGTAAAAAAAAAATTTCATTATATTTCTGAAAATAATTGAATTCTTGTAAAAATTTTATATTATTTACTAAAAGAATTAAATTCTTGTAGAAAATTTTATTATTTATAAAAAATAATTGAATTCTTTCGAGGAATTTTATTTTTTTACAAAAATAATTGAATTCTTTGGGAAGAATTTTTTTATTTATAAAAATAAATGAATTCTTGCAGAAAATTTTATTACTTATATAAAAAATAATTGAATTATTTCGAAGAATTTTATTTTTTACAAAAATAATTGAATTCTTGCGAAGAATTTTTTTTATTTATAAAAATAATTGAATTCTTGCAGAAAATTTTATTACTTATAAAAGATAATTGAATTTTTTTTGTGTAATTTAATTAAAATTGCATTGAAAATAATAAAATTCCTGTAAAAAGTTTCATTATTTCTGGAAAATAATTGAATTTTTCGTAAAAATTTTGTATATTATTTACAAAAATAATTAAATTATTTAGAAGAATTTATATTTCGTTTTTTAAAAAGAATTCCAGTCTGGTGGACTTTAATGAAATTGTTTTTAAAAATAATTGAATTCTTGCGAAGAACTTTCATATTTATAAAAATAATGGAATTCTTGTGAAGAGTTTTTTTGTTTATAAAAATAATTGAATTCTTGCGAAGAATTTTTATATTTTAATTCTTGTGAAGAGTTTTTTTGTTTATAAAAATAATTGAATTCTTGTAGAAAATTTTATTTTTACTTATAAAAAATAATTGAATTCTTTCGAAGAATTTTATTAAAATTTTTGAAAATTAGTTGAATTCTTTTGAGAAATTTGATGAAAATTGAATCGAAAATAATTGAAAATAATTGAAAACAATTGAAAATAAAGTGATAATAACTGAAAATAATTAAAAATAATTGAAAATAAAGTGAAAATAACTGAAAATAATTGAAAATAATTGAAAATAATTTAAAACAATTGAAAATAATTGAAAATAAAGTGAAAATAACTGAAAATAATTGAAAATAATTAAAAATAAAGTGAAAATAACTGAAAATAATTGAAAATAATTGAAAATAACTGAAAATAATTAAAAATAATTGAAAATAAAGTGAAAATAACTGAAAATAATTGAAAATAACTGAAAATAATTGAAAATAACTGAAAATAATTGAAAATAATTGAAAATAAAGTGAAAATAATTGAAAATAATTGAAAATAAAGTGAAAATAACTGAAAATAATTGAAAATAATTGAAAATAATTGAAAATAATTGAAAATAATTGAAAATAAAGTGAAAATAATTGAAAATAATTGAAAATAAAGTGAAAATAACTGAAAATAATTGAAAATAACTGAAAATAATTGAAAATAAAGTGAAAATAACTAAAAATAATTGAAAATAACTGAAAATAATTAAAAATAATTGAAAATAAAGTGAAAATAACTGAAAATAATTGAAAATAACTGAAAATAATTGAAAATAATTGAAAATAAAGTGAAAATAATTGAAAATAATTGAAAATAAAGTGAAAATAACTGAAAATAATTGAAAATAATTGAAAATAATTGAAAATAATTGAAAATAATTGAAAATAAAGTGAAAATAATTGAAAATAATTGAAAATAAAGTGAAAATAACTGAAAATAATTGAAAATAACTGAAAATAATTGAAAATAAAGTGAAAATAACTAAAAATAATTGAAAATAACTGAAAATAATTAAAAATAATTGAAAATAAAGTGAAAATAACTGAAAATAATTGAAAATAACTGAAAATAATTGAAAATAACTAAAAATAATTGAAAATAATTGAAAATAACTGAAAATAATTAAAAATAATTGAAAATAAAGTGAAAATAACTGAAAATAATTGAAAATAACTGAAAATAATTGAAAATAACTGAAAATAATTGAAAATAATTGAAAATAAAGTGAAAATAATTGAAAATAATTGAAAATAAAGTGAAAATAACTGAAAATAATTGAAAATAATTGAAAATAATTGAAAATAATTGAAAATAATTGAAAATAAAGTGAAAATAATTGAAAATAATTGAAAATAAAGTGAAAATAACTGAAAATAATTGAAAATAACTGAAAATAATTGAAAATAAAGTGAAAATAACTAAAAATAATTGAAAATAACTGAAAATAATTAAAAATAATTGAAAATAAAGTGAAAATAACTGAAAATAATTGAAAATAACTGAAAATAATTGAAAATAACTAAAAATAATTGAAAATAATTGAAAATAAAGTGAAAATAATTGAAAATAAAGTGAAAATAACTGAAAATAATTGAAAATAATTGAAAATAATTGAAAATAAAGTGAAAATAACTGAAAATAATTGAAAATAATTGAAAATAATTTAAAACAATTGAAAATAATTGAAAATAAAGTGAAAATAATTGAAAATAAAGTGAAAATAATTGAAAATAACTGAAAATAATTAAAAATAATTGAAAATAAAATGAAAATAACTGAAAATAATTGAAAATAAAGTGAAAATAATTAAAAATAATTGAAAATAAAGTGAAAATAATTGAAAACAATTGAAAATAAAGTGAAAATAACTGAAAATAATTGAAAATAATTAAAAATAATTGAAAATAAAGTGAAAATAATTGAAAATAACTAAAAATAATTGAAAATAATTGAAAATAAAGTGAAAATAATTGAAAATAAAGTGAAAATAACTGAAAATAATTGAAAATAATTGAAAATAAAGTGAAAATAACTGAAAATAATTGAAAATAACTGAAAATAATTAAAAATAATTGAAAATAAAGTGAAAATAACTGAAAATAATTGAAAATAACTGAAAATAATTGAAAATAATTGAAAATAATTGAAAATAACTGAAAATAATTTAAAACAATTGATAATAATTGAAAATAAAGTGAAAATAATTGAAAATAATTGAAAATAAAGTGAAAATAATTGAAAATAATTGAAAATAATTGAAAATAACTGAAAATAACTGAAAATAATTAAAAATAATTGAAAATAACTGAAAATAATTAAAAATAATTGAAAATAAAGTGAAAATAACTGAAAATAATTGAAAATAATTAAAAATAATTGAAAATAAAGTGAAAATAACTGAAAATAACTGAAAATAATTGAAAATAATTGAAAATAATTTAAAACAATTGAAAATAATTGAAAATAAAGTGAAAATAATTGAAAATAATTGAAAATAAAGTGAAAATAATTGAAAATAATTGAAAATAATTGAAAATAACTGAAAATAATTGAAAATAATTGAAAATAACTGAAAATAATTAAAAATAATTGAAAATAAAGTGAAAATAACTGAAAATAATTGAAAATAACTGAAAATAACTGAAAATAATTAAAAATAATTGAAAATAAAGTGAAAATAACTGAAAATAATTGAAAATAACTGAAAATAATTGAAAATAATTGAAAATAAAGTGAAAATAACTGAAAATAATTGAAAATAATTTAAAACAATTGAAAATAATTGAAAATAAAGTGAAAATAATTGAAAATAAAGTGAAAATAACTGAAAATAATTGAAAATAATTGAAAATAATTGAAAATAAAGTGAAAATAACTGAAAATAATTGAAAATAATTGAAAATAATTTAAAACAATTGAAAATAATTGAAAATAAAGTGAAAATAATTGAAAATAAAGTGAAAATAATTGAAAATAATTGAAAATAAAGTGAAAATAACTGAAAATAATTGAAAATAATTGAAAATAACTGAAAATAATTAAAAATAATTGAAAATAAAGTGAAAATAACTGAAAATAATTGAAAATAACTGAAAATAATTGAAAATAACTGAAAATAATTGAAAATAATTGAAAATAAAGTGAAAATAATTAAAAATAATTGAAAATAAAGTGAAAATAATTGAAAATAATTGAAAATAAAGTGAAAATAATTGAAAATAATTGAATGAATTTAAAGTAATTGATAATTAATTTAATTTCAGCGAGAAATATGAATTGGGATCCCATGGTTATGGAAAGAACAGCGTGAAATTATTGCACGTTCGTCGAAGTAATGAATATCATGAAATCCGTGAATATGAGGTTGACACGCATTTGCGATTAAATACACAGAAGGATTATTTAACTGGCGATAATCGTGACATAATAGCGACGGACAGTCAAAAAAATACCGTCTACTTGTTGGCGAAAAAATACGGCGTGAAGTCGCCGGAGGAATTTGGATTATTAATTTGCGCCCATTTTCTTGAGACTTATAAACACGTCGAGGAAGTTAATGTCAATGTCGAGGAATATCCCTGGACCAGACATCAAGTCAATGGCACACTTCACAATCATGCATTTGTCTTGACTCCCATGGCCACGAGATATTGTCAAGTCACTCAACTTAGAAATGGTATTTCTATGATTCATTCAATTATTTTTGTTCTATTTCCTTTTTGTTTTATTTTTATTTCACTTTTATTTTTTTAAATATTTTATTTTAGAATTTTATTTTTGTTTTATTTATATTTTCTAATATTTTATTTTTTAAATTTGTTTGAATTTTAATTATTTTTTTACAATATTTTCTTTTATAATTTTGTTTGAATTTTATTTATTTTTTTTACAATATTTTATTATATATTTATTTAATTTCTAATTTCTATTTTATTTTTTATTTCTATTTTATTCTATTTTTATTCCTTTTTATTTTATTTTTTTTATTTCATATTTATTTAATTTCTATTTTAGTTTTTATTTCTATTTTATTTTTTTTTATTTTATTTTTCAAAGTTTCCATAGATTTTTGGAAAGTCGGGGAAAAATCAGGAAAATTTCAAAAATAATTGAATTTTAAAAGAGTCACGTTTACGATTTTCATAAATTGTTCAACTTTTCAAAAGGTTTTAAATTGAAATTTTATAAAATTTCAATTTTGAATGAATTTAATTCGAAATTTTAAAGAACTTAGATTTTTGAAAAATTTTAATAATTCAAATTATTCTGAAGTTGTAGTTAAACTTTTTAATATATATGTATATTCAATTAATTATTAAAAATAATTGAATTTTTGCGAAAAATTTTATTACTTTTGAAAATAATTGAATTTCTGCAATAATTTCTAACTTCTCCAAAATTCAATTCCAAAAAACACTAAGAAAAATTGAATTTTGGAGAAGTTGGAAATTATTGCAGAAATTCAATTATTTTCAAAAGTAATAAAATTTTTCGCAAAAATCCAATTATTTTTAAAAGTAATAAAATTCTTCGCAAAAATTCAATTATGTTAAAAAATTTTTAAAATATCTTGTCAAAATTTCAATTATCTTAATAAATAATAAAATTTGTCTCTAAAATTCAATTATTTTCAAGAATTTTAATTAAATTCTTGGTAAAAATTCAATTATTTTCAAAAATTCCCCTCAATTGAATGATTTTCAATATCTACTGTTTTAATAAATGTTTTCAAAAGAATTCAATTATTTAAAAAAATTTTAATAAAATTCTACCCAAACATTTAAATATTTTCATAAATAATAAAAATTTAACAAGAATTCAATTATTTACAAATTTTTTCCCAAATTTTTTGCAAGAATTTAATTATTTTCAAAAACAATAAAATTTTTTACAGGGTTTCAATTATTTTGTTTGTGTTTTCGTTTTGTTTCAATTTTGTTTCTTTTTCTTTTTTTCAATTTTGTTTTAATTATTTTCAATTATTTCATAAATAATAAAATTACTTTTAGGAATTTAATTATTTTCATAAGAGAATAAAACTCATCGCAGAATTTCAATTATTTTTAATACAATTTTATTTTTAATTGAATTGTTTCGAAGAATTCTATTAAAATTGTTGAAAATAAGCTTTAAATCTTTGGATAAATTTGACAAAAGTTGTTTTAAACGTAATTGAATTTTTACAAAGAATTTTATTTGTAAAAATAATTGTATCTTTGTCATAAATTCATTTTATTTAAAAAAAAAATAATTGAATTTTTTCGAAGAATTTTATTACAATTTTTAAAAGTAATTGAATTCTTTTGAGAATTTCTATTCAAATTTAATTGAAAATAATTGAAATTTAAGTATAACTTTTATTATTTATAAAAATAATTGAATTGTTTCGAAGAATTTTATTTAAAAATTTTTAAATGTAATTAAAATCTTTGGCGAAATTTTACTGAAATTGTTTAAAAAATAATTGAATTCCTGCGACGAATTTTATCATTTATGAGAATAATTAAATTCCTTCAAGAAATTTATGAAAAATTGTGTTGAAAAATAATTGAATTGTTTTGAAGAATTTTATTCTAACGCAATTCTCTGAAAGAATTCAATTTTTTTTAATAAATATTAAAATTCTTTCCAGAAATTCAATTAATTTCAAAAATTTTTTTAAATAATTCTCGTTAAGAATTTTATTATCTTTATAAATAGCAAAATTTTTCGCTGAAATTCAATTCTTTTCAGGAGTTTTTATAAATCTCATGGTGAAATTCAATTATTTTCATAAATAACAATATTCATCACAAAAATTCAATTATTTTCAAAATTGATAAAATTTTTCTCAAAAATTCAATTATTTTTGAAAAATCTGAAAAAAATTTGTTAACATTTCAATTATCTTTATAAATGAATAGAAAAATTCAATTGTTTTCTGGAATTTTAAAAAAATTCATGACAAAATTCAATTATTTTGTAAAGTCAATAAAATTCAATTATTTTCATAAATTTTAAAATTCTTTTCTTTTTAAAATTTTTTAAATTACTTAAAGTAATTTCATAAATAATAAAATCATTCGGAGAAAGTCAATTATTTTCATAAATAACAATATTTATCATAACAATATTTATTATAACAATATTTATCATTCAATTATTTTCAAAAGTACCTAACAAAATTCAATTACTTTTAAAAAATCTTAATAAAATTCATTGCAAAATTTCAATTATTTTCTAAAATTTTTCTTAATTCAAATAATTTGTATATCAATTATTTTAATAAAATTTCTCAAAAGAATTGAATTATTTTAAAAACAATTTTGACAAAGTTCTACACGAATATTCAATTATTTTCGAAAATAATTAAAATTTCACAGGAATTCAATTATTAAAAATATATAAATTGCGAAAAATTTTTTCGAGAAAACTCAATTGTTTGAAACTATTTTTTTTTTGTAAAATTCTGCCGCAATAATTCAATTATTTTCATAAATAATAAAATTCACCGCAGAATTTCAATTATTTTAAATACAATTTAAATCGAATTCCTCGAAAAGTGTAATTATTATTAAAAATTTGATTTTAAAATTCGTCGAAAGAATTGAATTATTTAAAAATTTTTTGTTTAAATTCTTCATGAGAATTGAATTTTAGGAAACATTCAATTATTCAATGAATTGTCTATGTTTGTATTTAAATAATTGAATTCTCGTAAGATTTTCTTTTAAAAATTTGATTGAAAAATTGATTCCAGTTAAAGTTTTAGATAATAATTGAATTTTTGAGAATTTACTAATAATTGAAATTTTTAGAAATAATTGAATTTTGTAAAGGTTTCAAATTAAAGTCTTTGAAAATTGAAATTTTTCATACTTTTAATTAAAAAATCCAAGGAACCAATTTTTTTTTTCAAAAAGCTTAATTGAAATTTTTTTGAAATTATTTAAAATTTTATTTTCTAATGTATATTTAATTAAAGAATTTTCGATTAATTGAAATTTCATGTAAAATTGAATTTTAAAGAAATGAATTTATTGGCAAAGAAGAATTTTTTCAAAAATTATTAAAAATAATTGATTTAAAGAAGAATTTTAGTTAAAAATTGTAGAAATGATTAATAATTGAATTGAAATGATGAAAATAATTTCTAATATTTTTAGAGTAACTCAGAATATTCTTCAGGGAAAAAGGTCAAAATTTTGGATGTAATTTAGGGAAAAGTCAGGGAATAATAAAATTAAATTTTTGTATCAGTCCTTTTTTTCTAATATTTTAGTCAATTTGCAGTTTTTATTTTATCTTTTATTTCCAGTTTGATTTATATATTTTATTTTTTCACTTTTATTCTGTTTTTATTTTTTTATTTTTATTCTGTTTTTTTTTAACTTTTAATTATTTTTTTTTAATTCAAAAAAATTTTTTTCTAGTATTTTTTTCGATTTGTAATTTTTGTTCTAAATTTGAATTTTTTCGTTTCTTTTTCTTTTTTTTTATAGAGGAGCCACGAATTCGAGGCGGTTTAAAGGGATTACGTGTTTTGAAGACGACACAAAGTTCGTTCACTGATTTTATTCAAGACGAATATCGAACATTGCCGGACGCTAATGATAGAATATTTAGCACTGAAGTGATAGCGTCGTGGGATTTTTCGACATCGTTAAATGTTGATTTTGACAATGTTTGGTACACCGTTAAGAATTGTATTCTCGAGAATTTCGCCGGCCCACCTAAAACTGGAATTTACTCGCCGAGCGTTCAAAATACACTCTATCGTGCCGAGAAGCACGTGTTAGATAAAATTGATCAGGTATTTTTTTTTAATTTCATATTTTAAACAATTAAATAATTAAATAATAATTAATATAATAATAATAATTATAATAATTATAATAATTAAATAATTAAATTTATCAATTTTATTAATTTTTTGTTTAAATGAGAAAATAAATTATAAAATTAAAAAAATTGCATTCAATAGTTAATTTTAAATAATATTGCGGAAAAAGGAAAAAAAATTGCTTTAAATTTATAAATTTCATTAATTATTATTAATTTATTAATTTTTTCTTTCTTTTTTTTTAAAGTGTAAATAAATTATAAAATTAAATAAATTGCATTAAATAGTTAATTTTAAATTATATTGGAAAAAAATGATAAAGTTTGAAAGTTTTTAAAAATATAATTATTGTTATTATTATAAATAATTTTTTTTTCATTTTATTTGATTTATTTTTTAAATAATTATTAATATTAAATTAAAATTGAATTGTTTTTGTGAATTAGATTTGCAGTATCGAAATGAGAATGCCAAATAAACATTACTTTGAATTGGATCTTTCGAAATTTCCCACAGTCATTCAGGATAAAAACAAAGAAGTTTATTTGCCAGTTGACAAACCGTCGGGAATAATTTATGCACAATTAAATAGAAAAGATGTTAAATCCAAACTTTAATAAGTAAAAAAAAAAAAAAAAAAAAATTATTAAAAAAGAGAAGAAGAAGACAAAAACCTTTGACAAAGAAAAATATAAAAAATTTAATATTTTCTTTGTAAGACAGTATTTTGTGTATATTTTAGAAAATTCCTTAGGTTATTTTATAAAATTAGAGAAATTTGTTTTTAATTTTAATGATTTATGTTTAGAACAGAAAAAAGAGAAGATTATATTTTGAATAAATAAAATTGTATTCAATTTTCAAATGTTAGTAATTTATTATGTAAGTAAAAGTAATTATACCTATTATCACTTTTGTTTTTAATATTACATTCAAAATTTTTTTATTAAGAATTTATAGAAATTTTGAAAGATTTCCTCATACTTTTTCTTTTTAAAATAGTTATTTAAATTTTATTGTGGTAAAACTAATTTTTATGACTGAAAAATAAGGCTAATTAATTATTTATTTTAAAGAAAAAACACTTTATTTATTTATTTTATAAAAAAAAACAGGATTTTATTTATTTCCATGTCTCGTTCGATGTAAAATTAAAAAATTAATTTTCAAAAATTTCACATCACTTTTGTTTTGATAAGTTTGAATTTTTACTAATTCAGATTTATTATTAATTCTAAATCAGAGAATAAGTTTCGTATATCTAGAAATAATAATTAAATAGAATCTTATTAAAAACTTTTGAAAATAATTTAATTCCTTTTCGAAGAAAGAAATTTTATTGCAATTTTTTTATATTCTTATCATATTAAAAGTGCATTGAAAATAATTAAAGTCTTTTGAATAATTTCATTATTTGTGGTAATAATTGAATTATTTCAAAGAATTTTATTTCTATTTTCTGAAAATAATTGAATTTATATGTTTGATATTGAATTGAATTAAATTGAAATTATATGGAAAATTAAAAAAATAATTGAATTTTTTAGAAAAATTTTGATTCAATTTTTACAAACAATTGAAATCTTTGGCAAAATTTTACTAAAATAATTGTTTTAATAATAATTGAATTCTTTCGAAAAATTTTATTATTTATAAAAATAATTAAATTTTTATTTCATTATTCCATTAAAGTTGAATCGAAAATAATTGAATTCATTTGAAAAATTAAATTATTTTTGAAAAAAAATAAACTAAATATTGTAGATTTTTTTGAAATAATCATTGAATTGTTTATAAAAATTTTGATTCAATTTTTATAAATAATTAAAATCTTTGGCAAAATTTTACTAAAATTTTTACAAAAAAATAATTCAACTATTCCGAAGAATTTCATTATTTATAAAAATAATTAAATTCTTGACAAGAATTTAATTATAATTATGAAAAATAATTTAAATTACTGCGAGAGATTTAAAAAAAAAATATTGAAAATAATTAAATTCATTCTAGAAATTTAATTAGAGTTTTATTTAATAATAATATTTAAAATAATTGAATTATTTTGAAGAATTTTTAAAAAATATTTAAATTCTTTTGAAATATTCTATTAAAATTAAATTCAAAAATAATTAAATTCCTATATGAAAAATTTCATTATTTCTGAAAATCATTGAATTCCTGTAAAATTTTTGTATTATTTACAAAAATAATTGAATTGTTTAGAAGAATTTTATTTCGATTTTTAAAAATAAATAAGGTTTTTGGCCAAATTTTACTGAAATTGTTTTTTTTAAATAATTGAATTCCTATGAAGAATTTTACTATTTTTGTAAATAATTGAATTATTTTGCAGAATTTTATTACAATTTTTTGAGAAAGTTACTTAAATTCTTTTAAAATTGAATTGAAAATAATTGAATTCCTCTGAAAAATTTTGTTATTTCTAAAAATAATTGAATTCCTGTAAAAAATTTTATTTCAATTTTTAAAAATATTGAAATATTTGGTGAAATTTTACTGAAATTGTTTTTAAAAATAATGAAATTCTTGCGTACAATTTTATTATTTATAAAAATAATTGAATTGTTTAAAAAATTTTTATTTAAATTTTGAAAAATAATTGAAATATTTGGTAAAATTAGTCTGAAATTGTTTTTAAAAATAATGAAATTCTTGCGTACAATTTTATTATTTATAAAAATAATTGAATTGTTTGAAAAAATTTTATTTCAATTTTGAAAAATAATTGAAATATTTGGTGAAATTTTCCTGAAATTGTTTTTAAAAATAATAAAAATTTTTGCTTACAATTTTTTTATTTAGAAAAATAAGTTTTAAAATAAATTTTCGAAAGTAATAATTTATTACTTAAATAGTTAAAAATTTACAACAAAAAGAAAAAAAAATTTTTTGAATGATTTCAGTTTTAAAATTTACAAAAAAAATATAAAAATTTCTAAAAGCGCAGAGAAAAATCATGGAATTTTTCTCGAAGGGGAAAGATATAAAAAAATTTTTAAATGTAAGAAAAATCTATTTTTTTCTGTATTGAGAAGAGAAGAATTATTTTTATAGAAAATTGCGACATGTCAAATAATTTCCCTTTTTTAATTTGTTTATTTCCTTTTTTTATTATTTTTATTATTGATAATAGACAGGAAGTGAAAAATTGACTCACGACATAGAGTAAATGTGACAATTCTCTCTCTCTCTCTCTCACACTTTTTTTATTATTTGTAAATTCTATTAATAACATTTCTAAAAGTATGATTATATGAAAGAAAGTAAAACTCGATCATTGGGTCAAAGATTATAGTTGTAATGTTCCTGAAATTTATAATGTCGATTTCTATACACACATCCTCTTTTTAGACACACCCTTTTTCTTTTATATTTTTCTCCTCGCTTTTGTGTCATATCTCAAATAATGTCTTTTCATTTAGTGAAACTTGGAAATATTTAACTTGGCCAAACACAGCAATGTCATAAGAGAATGGTTACCTGCATTCGAATAGTCAGTTTCATTTTTGACTCGACACGAAATGCACTGAAATTATTCTCCGAAAAAAATACTATTTTTTTTAAAAATCCCTTTTTCTAAAAATAATATATTTTTTCCAAAAATTCCTTTTTATAAAAAATTTTTTTATAAAAATTTTATAAAATAATTTTTCAAACGTTTTAGTTTGAAAAAAGACGTTTTAGTTTGAAAAAAGACGTTTTAGTTTGAAAAAAGACGTTTTAGTTTAAAAAAAGACGTTATAGTTAAAAAAAACCGTTTTTTAAAAAATAAAATCCAAAAATGGAAAACTTACCCAAATTCACAATTTTGACAATTTTTGTATTAATTGCAAAAAATTTCCCCTGTGTTTTGTGTGAAAATAAAAATGACAATTGTGGAGGAACATTTTCGGGTTATCAATATTCGATAATCAGTCCGAATTATCCGGGTAATTATCCGGCGAATTTGAATTGTACGTATTATTTACGTGGAATGAGACAGGCGCGTTGCGAGCAGGAATTTCATTTGCAATTTCTCGACTTGAATATTCGAGCAACGGAAAAATGTGAAAATGATTTTTTACAAATTGGCGAGTCGAATATTTATTGTGGAAGAAGCGCGGCAATGCGTGTATTCAAAGGAATGAATAATGTGTTGAAAATCCATTTTCACTCTGGAAAGGAAATTGGGACAAAGGGATTTCGAATATTAGTGACAACATTGCCTTGTGTCAATACACAGAACAAGAATAATACTGGGTAAGTGTTTTCCTTTTCATTTTTCTAATATTGATAGATAAATAGATAAAAATTGGGAAATATTTTAATAGTTTTGAAAATTCCAATGTACAAGTTTACTTTATTAAAGTGGATTTAGAATTTTTGTTAAAACTAGTATTTTTAATTGAAATTATGATTGAATTTCGATTGAAATTACAATTTTCAATTAAAATCACAATTTTCATTTAAAATTATATAATGCTTTCAATTACAATTACGATTTTCAATTAAAATTGCGGGTTTCAATTAGTATTACCTGCATTTTTCAATTATAAGTAGGGGAGGATGGGGCAAGGATAGTTAAGGGGCAAGGATAGTTAGTTGCTGTTATGCTTAGACGGCTTGCTCAAAAATCGCGTAATTCATAGTATATTCGCGTTTTAACACCAAAAGGTGATTGTAAAAATTGCAAGTCAATCTGTCACCATTTGCGAAGTTGGGAGATTATTTTTGAAAAAAGTCTGTTTTGCTAAAATGTCAACGTAATGTTTATCATATTGTTTTCTACATTAGAATTTCAGAATATTTTTTACGTAAAATGTTTTCCGGAGTGGAATTTCCTGCTGAACACGAATATCGTATTTATTTTCAAATTAATTCACGTCGTTCCTTAAAATTTGGAATAAACTGAAATATGGGCTCATGGGGCAAGGATAGTTAGAGATAATACGGCACGGTAAAAGCGTGTTAATACCATTGAAAATTTTAAAAAACTGTTTAATTGTTCTTTTTAGGTTGATATACATAATGTTGCGTAATTATATACGGAAAACGAAGCTTATGACCAAGAAATAGGTGGTCGTCTGAAAAAAATTGGTTAAACTTCTGATTCTAGTTCAGATGAATTTTAATATAATAATTGCAATTCAGAAAATGTCCCATACATATTTTTAATACTTGGGATATCAATATTGAATAGTCTAAATCCAGTAAAATAAAAAAAACAAAAATTTACTAATTTTCTATAACATTTTTGGCATTCGAATTCTTTTAACTATCCTTGCCCCGGTACTGGGGCAAGGATAGTTAAAAATTTTTGTTTACTTTTTCATTCGTATCTCGTAGGGATTTGAGTCTACAGTAAAATAATGTACAGCAAAATTATAGCCAAATAACCAGGCTTTCCAAAAATACTTTTCATTTGCAGATACATAATCAAGTTTGGCCGCTAGATCCGAAAAGGTCTTACCTAACTATCCTTGCCCCATCCTCCCCTAACTGCAATCTTCAATTAAAATCACAAATTTCAATTAAAATTATCTACAAAATTTTAAATACAATTACGAAATTCAATTAAAATTACAATTTTCAATTAAAATTTCCTATTATGTACCTTCTATTAGAATTATGATTTTCATTAAAAATCTTTCAACTACATTTACGATTTTCAATAAAAATTACAATTTTTAATTGAAATTTTCTATTACTTTTAATTAAAATCACAATTTTCAATTAAAATTATCTAAAACATTCAATTACATTTACGATTTTTGATAAAAATTATGATATTATATTTAAATTTAATACTTATCAATTCTACTGATTTCTCTGAACCAGTATCCACCTAGATTGATGTTGGGATGTTGCTGAACAACATCCTGTGAAATAGAATATTTTATTGCAACTTTAAAGTAAAAGCACACTGTAAAAAAAGGGAGTTAAATTTTAACTCCCCTGGGAGGTCTACAAAAGTCGCACCCATTGAGAAGATAATGCCAGGGGAGTTAAATAAAGAGAGTTAAAGTTTCACACCCAAATACTAACTCCCCAAGGAAAAAATAACTCGCGCGGGTGTTAAATGAAGGGAGTTAGAAATTAACTCTCTTTTGGAGTTGATTTTTAACTCGAAAACTTTAACTCCCGAGTCCGTTAACTCCTTAAATTTTTTTCAGTGCAGGTCCACCCTAAGGCTATCAGACTATTAAAATTAGCATAAAAAGGTACTTAAATTAAATTCGTTTTAATTTTGCTAATTTCCATGTACCGGAAACTTCCTAGATTATTGCTGGGATGTTGCTGAACAACATTCTGTGAAATAGAATATTTTATTATAACTTTAAAGTAGTAGCAGGTCCACCCGAACGCTATCAGACAATCGAAAATAGCATAAAAAGACGCTTAAATTAAATTCATTTTAATTTTACTAATATCCATGGACCTGAATCCACGTAAATTGTTGCTGGGATGTTGCTGAACAACATCCTGTGAAATAGAATATTTAATTATAACTTTAAAGTAGTAGCAGGTCCACCCGAACGCTATCAGACAATCGAAAATAGCATAAAAAGGCGCTTAAATTAAATTCTTTTTAATTTTGCTAATTTCCATGTACTGGAAACTTCCTAGATTGTTGCTGGGATGTTGCTGAACAACATCCTGTGAAATAGAAAATTTTATTTTATCTTTAAAGTAGTAGCAGGTCCACCCGAACGCTATCAGACAATCGAAAATAGCATAAAAAGGCGCTTAAATTAAATTCGTTTTAATTTTGCTAATTTCCATGTACTGGAAACTTCCTAGATTGTTGCTGGGATGTTGCTGAACAACATCCTGTGAAATAGAAAAATTTATTTTATCTTTAAAGTAGTAGCAGGTCCACCCGAAGGCTATCAGATAATCAAAATTAGCATAAAAAGACGCTTAAATTAAATTCATTTTAATTTTACTAATATCCATGGACCTGAATCCACGTAAATTGTTGCTGGGATGTTGCTGAACAACATCCTGTGAAATAGAATATTTAATTATAACTTTAAAGTAGTAGCAGGTCCACCCGAACGCTATCAGACAATCGAAAATAGCATAAAAAGGCGCTTAAATTAAATTCTTTTTAATTTTGCTAATTTCCATGTACTGGAAACTTCCTAGATTGTTGCTGAGATGTTGCTGAACAACATCCTGTGAAATAGAATATTTTATTATAACTTTAAAGTAGTAGCAGGTCCACCCGAACGCTATCAGACAATCGAAAATAGCATAAAAAGGCGCTTAAATTAAATTCGTTTTAATTTTGCTAATTTCCATGTACTGGAAACTTCCTAGATTGTTGCTGGGATGTTGCTGAACAACATCCTGTGAAATAGAAAAATTTATTTTATCTTTAAAGTAGTAGCAGGTCCACCCGAACGCTATTAGACAATCGAAAATAGCATAAAAAGGCGCTTAATTTAAATTATAATTAATTTATGTAATTGGTTTTCAAAATAATTGAATTATCAAATGTTATTATTTAGAAAATGTCAGATACTCAAAAATTTGAAATTTTAAAAATGAATTTTTGTGTTTTTTTGAAAAAATTGAAATTGAAATCTAAAAATTTAATTAGTAATTCTAATATAACTAGCTTTTTAAAAATTTCAATTTAATTTTTATACGATAATTGAAGTTTTGAAATTTATTAAATGATATATTTCTCAGTAATTAAAGTTTCATAAAATTGTAGGTACTAAATGTAAATGGAAATCTTTTTCGAAAATGAAAATTTTGATTGTAGCTAAAATTGAAGTTTGAATTTTTTTTTTTAAATTAGAATTTTATTGTGATATATTGTAAATTTTTAATTTAAATAATTAATGCCGAAATAATATTGTTACTTCTTTTTTTGACATTCTTTATTTTTTAGATATCACCCTGAAATTGGAACACGACAAGTAACGCAAACTGAAAATGTCGAAAAATCAATCAATTCCTTTCATCAGGAAAAAATGGATAAAACTTTAATTGACAAACATTTCAAATCACTCTCAAATCATAAACAAGAAACTGTGGAAACTCTCTCGCCAATTTATCCATCAAAAATAAAATTTCCCGATGATAATAATAATTCTGACAGAAAAAATTTCTCTCGATCATTATTGGACTCGTCGACATATCTTTTTCTACCACCCACGGAAAATTCGCCCCGAAATTTCACATATTCTCAATATTTAACTCCGGAAAGAAATTTTTCATTGCCAATATTTTCCTCGATTCCGTTTCGTGTTGAAAAAAGTGGGAACAAATTGTCTAGTAAATTGAAAAATTTCTCTTCAAATGGAATTTATGGTTTGAGTATTGAAAGTAGAAATGAAGTTGGTTATGGTATCGGTTCAGGGACAACTTTAAAATCGGAAATTACTGTAGAAAATACGGATTTGAATTTTGACAGTAATCACAAGCCGGGAATTTCTGACAATAATTTCGGACCGGGAATTAATTACAAGCCGGGAGTTTCTGACAATAATTTCGGGCCGGGAATTTCTGAGGATAATTTCGGTCATGGAATTAATTACAAGCCGGGAGTTTCTGACAATAATTTCGGGCCGGGAATTTCTGAGGATAATTTCGGTCATGGAATTAATTATAAGCCGGGAGTTTCTGACAATAATTTCGGACACAAAACGAATTACAACAAGCCGGGAATTTCTGTAAATAATTTCGGACATGAAACGAATTACAATCCGGGAGTTTCTGGAAATAATTGCGGACACGAAACTAATTACAAGCCGGGAGTTTCTGGAAATAATTTCGGACACGGATATGCCTTCAAACCGAATTTAGACCCGAATCCAGCGAACGATGTTTCGGTAAATTTTGAAAATAGTTTCGGAACTGGTTCCAATTTTGCCCCCAATGGAGTGGGAACAACTTTAGATACAAATTTTGGATTTTTTGACAATGGAAATATCAATTCTGTTAATGTTAATTCGCTCTCGGGTTCGGGAATCAGTGCCCCACACTTTTCGAATTTAGATCCGAATTTAAATTCGGAAAATATTATTCCGAAGGTTGGTTTTGAATCGACAAATTCGTTCGTTGGTTATCTTGGACCTGACATTAGTTCTTCGGGAATTTTTCCAGGACTGCCGAATTACCCCAGTTGGTCGAGACCAGTGTCCGAATGTTGCGGACCAAAAGCTCCATCGCCGAGAACTTTTATTTCGAGTCCAGGTTTTCCGAAAAATACTTTCTCGTCCAATTCGTTTGAATGTGGTTACACAATACGTAAATTATCATTTACCAGTTGTCGTTTGAGACTAAATTTTAAATTCTTTAATTTCGGGAATGAGGATCCATTCTGTAGAGACGGTTCTTTGATAATTGGTGGAAAAAAATTTTGCGGTTGTAAAACTGGTTTGAGTCTCGTGTTTCCTTTCGATAATCTCCAGGCGCTTTTAATTAATGTTCGTTATAATGGTTTTCCAAAATCGAAATTCAGTGGGTTTTTGATTGAATTAATTCAGGAGGTGTGTGATTATCCCTTCATTCAAAATCGTCAAGGTTCGAATTACAAATTTGGAGAGGAATTGAAAACTATCCAATTGGAAAATAATGGCAATGAATTGGAAGATTCTAAAGAATTGTTGGGGAATTTTTCGAGGACAAATTCGAGAGGCGATTACTTTTATTCGGGACAAAATGACAATTTTGGAAATTTTAATCTTCAACATCAGTCGACAGTTGGTCAGAATGAGAAATTATTTTTGAATTCATGTGAGAATCGAGCTTTTCTTGATTGGATTGTCGCGGCAAGAGATGCATTTTTCACGGGTGCTAAATGTTATGATTTGGGAAATTCGGGAAAATTGTTGAATTTTGTTCATGGAAAAAGCATTTGGAATGGAGTCCAGGGAAATTGTGAAGAAATCACGGCTGTTCAGGGAGTAATTACTTCGCCTTTCTATCCGAATCAGTATCCAAATAATTTACGAAAATGCTACAGGTCAGTAATTTTCTTTAAATGGTAATTAATATTTACATTCACAATAAAAATTTACAAATAAGTCATTATTATGTTTAGTTAATTAATTAATAACTGTAAATAGTTAACATTGTATGACATTAAACCTTAAAACATTAAAAAAAATTAAATAAAAATTGTTTAATAAATAATACTAAGTAATTAATACCTATAAATAATAATAATAAAAAGTGCATAAGAGTTCTATAGTCTTACTATAGTTTTGGAAAACCAAATCGTAAATTACCCGTACATTATTCTGGGTTAAGATTTTTAAATTAATAATAAATAATTAATTTTAAATAACTAAAAGATTAATTATAAATAACTACAAATAATTAATAACTGTAAATAAGATTATAAGTATTCAATTATAAATAATAATAAGAGTTGAAATTTATTCAGTAATAATTACAAATAATTTAAATGCTCTAAATAATTAAAATTGTAAATATATTTAAAAATAATTAATAATAAAATAATATTTACGAAAAGTTGACAAAGGTCGTTGATGTCGAAGCTTCCGTGACTAGAATAATAATAATAATTTTCTAGAAAGTTTCCTAAAATTTCATTTTTTTAAATTAATAATAAATAATTAATTTTAAATAACTAAAGGATTAATTATTAAATAATTAATAACTGTAAATAATTATGATTATAAATAGTCAATTATAAATAATAATAAATGAGTTGAAATTCATTAATTATAAAACATTTTAATTACAAATAATTAAAATTATCTAAATTATTAAAATTGTAAATTAATATTTAAAAATACTTAATAATAAATATTTACTAAAAGTTGACAAACATCGTTGATGTCGAATCTTCTGTAACGAGAATAATAATTTTCTAGAAAGTTTCCTCAAATTTTATTTTTGTAAATAATAATAAACAGTTAATACTTGTAAATAAATAAGAAATAGGTACAAATAATAAATAAGTATAGAATAAATAGTTATAAATAATATATTAAATAGTTAAAATCAAATTATTTTTAAATAATTACTAATTAAATTAAAGAATTTAAAAATTAAGTACTTAAAATAGTTTATAAGTAAATAAAATCGAAATAATTAATAAGTAAATAAATTTATAGCAAATAATGTTTGATAATAAATAATTATAAATAGCAATTAATAAATAAATTAAATTAATTTAGTTGAACAATAATTAATAGATGAATAGTTAATAATTATAAATAAATAAATAATAATTAGATAGGCAATTAAAATCAAATTATTACTTATTAAATAGTTACTAATTAAATTATAGAAACTAAAAAATGAATTATAAGTTAAATTATGATTAACTTAAACTACTTAAAAAATAACTATAGATAGGTAATAATCAAATTAAATTAAAAATTAAAATTAATAGAATAAAATTTAATTAGAATTTTTTCTCATAGATTTTACCGAGCACCTGGCTTCTGTCGATTGGAAGTTTCATTTCTAGATTTTTATTTAGAACCAAGCTTTGGATGTGCCAAGGATAATTTAATGTTCAGCGGGCAAAATAAACGTTATTGTGGTAGTTCTTTACTTGGAACGACAAGTAAGTAGTGTTGAATTTTTTTCATTTAATTTCTTTATTTCTTTTCTATTATTTTTAATAGGGAAATATTTAAAAACAATGTTTTTAAACTAATAATTAAAAAATAAAATCAGAAAATAAAAATAAATAATATAATTAACTAAAGATGAAAATAATTTACAATAATTGTTTGTAATTTAATTTTCATTAAATTATAATTATGTTAATAAAAAATGATAGAATATAAAAACAATTCATGAAATAAAATATAAAATTATAAAGATTTACAGTAGACGTCAATCGGAAACAGTTTCCTCTTATAAAGTTATGACGCGTATTTCTTGCGTCAGAATAAAATAGATAATATTTAAGACCATCTAATTATTACATTTCTGTGTCTGTATTAAATTTTTTCATTTTCTTTAGAATGATTTTCATTATTGGCAAAATAGGTATATAAATTAAAAAAACAATACAATAATGCAGACTTTTTTTTTTTTTGCAGCTTTTTTCGATCTTTCACAATCAAGAGTAGCAGATATTTATTTCGTCACCGATGCAATTGGAAGTGGAAAAGGATTTAGCATTGATTTTGTACAAAGACATTGTTAATTGTCTATTAAAAATAGTTTAGTAAAAAAGAAATCTTTTTTGAAATTTATTTTATTTTTTTACTTATTTAAAAAATTAAAAAGTACTTTCATTAAAAACATTTTTATTTAAATAAAGAATTTGTTTATCAATTCGGGTTTTGAGGAAAATTGTTTATTTATTTTTTTAAATTATCTTTTATAAGATACTTATACACAGATTTTTGTAACATTGATTGATATTATTTGTACATGATAAATTTTCTTCTTAAAACTATTTATACAATAAATATTATTATTTTTTGTTTAAAACAAAAATTTATCATTATTATAATCTTCTGTTTGTAATTTATTAATATTTTCACCATTCATCTATAACAATTATTTGACACCTATTATTTACTGTGGCAAGGATTTTTATATATATATATATATATATACACTATTTGAATATTTTTTTAAAAAAATTTTATGGTATTTAAAAAAATATCTTCAAAAATTTTATATATACATATTGAAAAAAATATATTTGTATATTCAGCGAAAAAAATAAATTTTATTTGTAATAAAATTACAATTAATTAATCTTAAGCAGTTTGAACTAATTAGTTAATTCATTTTATTGACTTTTTATCATACTCGTAGTATGAATTTTTATAATAATAATAAAAATAACAATTATTTTCAATAATAAATAGCAGAAAAAAAATAATAATAATATCCAGTAATTATAATAAAAATAGTAATAATAATAACAATATTAATGATAATAATAGGAATAAAATTAAAACTTGAATGGCACTGATTAAAAAATCAGTTAATTATCAATTGAAAATTAAAATATTGCCAATCGTTGTATAATTAGTGGTAATAATAATTGGTAATTTATTTTCGACGACCCAAAAATCGAATATTAGTGAAAACTGAACCTCCGGGTTTGTGTCGTTTACAAAAGTCAACATCTGTTCTTAAAAATTCTTCATGTCCTCGTGTCCCATGTAGAGCGACTAATAATTTGAGAACTTCTTTTCTTGATGGCATACATAAATATTGCTCTTCTCTGTAATCGTAACTACTGCGAAATTTGGAGGTGAAAAATTAAATTAGAAAAAAAATTGAAGTTATTTTCTTATTTAATTTAATAATTAATATTTACTTTTATTTATAAATAAATTAATATTTACTTTTATTTATAAATAAATTAATATTTACTTTTATTTATAAAAAAATTTACAGTATAATTTCTCTCTCACCTGGAATTTCGTCTCTTCCATGGATAACGACGATAATATCTTGATCTTTTTTTAAGATCATGTTCATCTACCTCAATATTTTTTGATTCAGAATCATCGACAATTTGTTGTGATGGTACTTCAAAAACAACAAGAGGTGCTTTCCAGGGACCTGTTTGTTCTAATAATGTTTCTAAAATTCTTGATAATTCTTGAAGATCGGCATCGCTTGTTTGCGTGTATGATTCTAAAGAAAAATTGCAGTATTTTTGAAATTATTATTGATAGTAATTTATTAAGGCAAAAATTACTAAATTACTAAATACTAAATCAATTTTTATTGTATGAATATGTCTTTAATAATTTAAATTCATTGGTTCCTTACTGGTATTATCATTAGCAAAATAATCAATTTGTGAATTATCGGATAAATTTTCATTTGAAGAAACTTCCTCCCAATTATTAAATTCCCCTTCATTATTGGTTAAACTCAATGGTTTCGTTAATGCTGAAATTGTTTTTAGTGACGCCACAAGGCATAGGCAACAAACGAATGATTTCATCTGAAAAAATAATTATAATTTCGTGTCAATATTACGTGTATTTACCTAAATGACTTGCTTCACCTTTTACACAATCAAAAAATTATTTCCTTTTTATTTTTTTTACTAAAAAAAAAAATATGTATAGCTTCGTTAATCTCAAAGTCTAAACCTACTTATTTGCTTAAAAAAAAAGTTCATTTTTAATTGAATGAAAATAGCGTTCTTATGAAAACGAAAATTTAATTATTAAATAAATTAAATAAATAAATAAATAATTCAAAAGTTTCAAGGGAAATAAAAATATGGGGGGATGGGGTTACTTGATACACTACATAAATCTTTGTTCTACAATGACTCTTTAACAGTTTGTAATAGTTCTGATTTTCAGCATAAGTGGCTCTGGAGAACGGCATAAAAGGACTAACAAGTTTAGATTACTTAATTGTGCTCTGAAACTGTTGCTTGAATTGTGACAAGTACTTTTTGGACAGAGCTTACAGTGCAAGGATCAAGAGAGTTTTAAAACTCAAATTCTTGTTTAAACTGGACGTAACAATTTCAAAACTCCAAACGAATTTCAGTTCTAAATTCTTGTCACCAATTAGAAAAATTAAATGCCAGCAAATTTTATCAGAAGTATTAGAAAAATATATATTAAATTTTTACAAATCGATGATTGGGAGCAAAAGCAGGATAACTCGGTTTGGTGTCATGTCATTCGACGGGTCATGTTATTCAAAGCCAAACCAAGTTGTCATGTTTCTTCACCCAACCAGCGAATTACTAAACTTTATAAATTTAATTAATTCTATCAATTCTAAATTGATTAAAAAATTGCACAAAGATTCTGGTTCTTGATATTGAAACATTTTTAAAAAAATTAAACCTTGAATTCTTATCGAATTTTTTTTTTTAGCTTAAAAATTTTTGAAACACAATTAATTTAAAAGCAATTTATTATTTTTCTTATTTGATTTAAATAAAAAATACAAGCGGGGCTAAATTAAAGTATCGTTAATACTACAACGAAAGTTGTCGAATTAAAACAAAGGGGGTTTCGAATCTACACAGTTTTTTGGATATTAAAATAAAACAAATGAAAAAGTATGCAAAATTGGTTCTAAATTAATACCTTCTTGATCTAATTTGAAAACTTTTTTTTAATAGTAAAGCTTTTTAACAGAAAATGTATCGTTTAGCCCCACCTTCCCCTATATTCAAATCTTATGATAACAAAGGAACTTAATACGGTTTCATGAAAAGTTAACGGTTTATACATTGTCCTTTAATCCAATCTTTATAATACCTATTTATTTTTAATTTCAATTTTCATCACATGTCAAATATTATTATAATTATTGCTATTAAAACTATTATAATTAATAGTATTACCGTTATTACTATTACTTGCAAAACAACACGCGTGAAATTTTCATTGCCATTGTTACTTTAAAAGATTTTCTTTTTGAAATTCAATGAAAATTCTTTTTTAAAAAAAATATAATTTTTCTAACAGTTTTTCTTTAAATTTAAGAAAAAAATTAAGAATTATTTGACCTCGTAAAAATCGCCAAGATATTTCCAAAAACTTGAATGCAAGATATTTTTTATGAAATAATTGAACCTTTGAGTACCACTCGAACAATCCTGGTAATAAGTTTAATTCTTTAAAATTCAATTATTTTCCAAATTTTGAATTAGAATTCTTCAAAAATACGTTTATATTTCAAAATAATTTTTAAAAGAAAAATAAAATTTTGTAAAATATAAAATTTATTTCAATTAAATTTGACTTAATTTTCAATTGTTTCAATTTTTTAAAATTATTTTCAAAAAAATTTTAATTACATTTCTTCATGAAAGAAATTTCTTCGGAATTTATAAATTAAATTATTCAAAACTTTAATAGTTTTTGTTGAACAAAAAATTTAAAAACTTAATCTTATTTATTTTTCCACAAGAATTAAAATTTCAAATAATTTCAATAAAAAAACCTTTTGAAATTTAATTATTTCTAAAAATTGCAAATGTAATTCTTCCAAAATTCAATTATTTTTTTAGAACTTTTAAATAAAATTTTTTATAAGTTTAAGAAGTTTAAAAAAAAATAAAAAAAATAAAAATAAAAAAAAAAATTTTTAAAAATTAAAAAAAAAAAAAATCCTTTTGCTTTCCTTAAAATTTCAAAGAATTTTATTTAAAAATTTCTTCAAATTTAGGGGCCGTTCAAAAAATACGTAACGCTTTAGGGGGGAGGGGGGTCAAGCTATTTGTTACGGTCAGCAGAAAAAATGGCGCTAATGTATAGAACATTGCGTTACATGGGGGGAGGGGGGGGGTCCAAATTTCCGAAAAATAGCGTTACGTATTTTTTGAACGGCCCCTTAATTAATTTCTAAAATTCTTGTTATAAGGCTTTAAACATTCAATTATTTTCTAAAATTTTAACTGAACATTTTTTTAAATCAATTCCTGACAGAATTTGACTAAGAGAATTGAATTTTTTAAAATTATTTTTGGAAATACAATTATTTAAAAACATTTTAATTACATTTTTTTAAGAAACAAATTTTTTTGGAATTTCTAAATTAAATTATTCAAAACTTTAATATTTTTGTAAAACAAAAATTAAAAATTATTCTTATTTATTCTTCCAAAATTGAATTATTTCTTTAGAATTTATGAATAAAATTATTCAAAACCTTAAGAATTTTTAAAGAAAATTAAGAATTTATAAGGTTTGAAAATAACAATTCTAATTTTGTTATACTTTTGTTTTCTTGAAATTTTCAAAGAATTTAACTTAAATATCTTTTGCATTTTAATTAATTACCTAAAAATCCTTTTCTAACGTTTGAAATATTCAATTATTTTCTAAATTTTTAGCTGAAATTTTTTTTCAAATTAATTCCTATCAGAATTCAACTACGAGAATTGGAAGGCTCAATTGAATTATTTAAATGGAATAATTTGTGTAAATTCCTAAAATGTATTTTTGAAAATACAATTATATTTATAGATTATTTTTAAAGATGAAAAAATAAATAAAAAAAAAATAAAAAAATTTTTTTAAATTTTAAAATTAAATCTTTCAAATTTCAATCATTTTTTAAAAATAAATATTCAAATATTTATTGCTCTTTATTTGTTTAAAATTTCGAAATACTTTAAATGTAAAGTCATTTGAAAAATTTTTTTTATGAAAATTCTAACTGAAAATTTACTAAAATTGAATTATTTTTGAGAATTTTTGAATAATTTGATCCAAAACTTTTAATTTTGAAGGAAGCTAACAAATAAAAAAAATTTTTTTATTTAAATATTATATTTTTACAGCAATTAGAATTACAATGATTTCAATTTAAATACTTTTTGAAATTTAATTATTTCTCAAGAATCCTACTTTAACGCTTATAATTATTATAAATATTTATTTCAATATTTATTAAAAAAATTTTTTATATTTCTATTTTCAATTTATTTTTCTACTATTTTTTTGTGTAAACTTTGCAGTCAGATGGCAAAGAATTTAAATAAATTAAAAAAATAATCCCTGATTTGTTAACGAAATTAAAAAAAAATTTCTTTTTCGCTTAGTTTTGGGAAAAATTTTTTAAAATTGAAAAATTAATTTTCCTTTTTCACTTTTTTTTATTGCGTATAATATAGTGTTTAAATAATGTTGCGTGACAATTAGTATTATTTTCTTTTTTCGCAGCTCATCGACTTTTTTTTTGCATAAAAATTATTAGTCTAGTTATACGCACACCTTGTTGGCAATATATAAAGTATCAAACTTGTGGGATTTCTCTCTTCTTATTAGTTTCGAGTAAATATGAGCAATATAATTACTGGATTATTAAACACCACCTGCACCTTAGTGTTGTCACAATCTCACCCACACGAATATTTATAGATACATATAGATATATGCATTCTATTAACAATATTTTATTATTGCGTTATCAATTCTTAAAATTAGATTAATTACTACTCATTGAAATTGCGCGCGTGCTTTCTGAAGTCATATTTTTCCCTATAAAAAAAAAATTGAAAAATTATCGGCTGTTAAGGCGCTAATTTTTCCATTTCTTTTTATAGAAGGATTTTATTTATCAAGTTTAATTATTTTATTTTTTATAATTTATTCATTTTCTTCGATTGATTTTTGTTTATTTATTTTCTTTAGTTTATTTCTACCGTTTGTTTTAATTTCTTCCTTTTAGTTCTATTGTTCGTTTATTTTCTTCGATTTATTTTTACTGTTTCTAAATTTTTGTTTATTTATTTCTATTGTTTATTTATAATAAAATAATGTTATCAAATTTAATATTAAATATAATTTTCCCAATAAGGTTATAATCGTCGTTATTATAAAAAAAAAAAAAAAAAAAAAAAAAAAAAAAAAAAAAAAAATAATAATAATAATAATAATAATAATAATAATAATAGGTAATGATAATTACAGAAATAGTAACAATAACAATAATTAAAACAATTTAAACGAAAAAATAAATATTAATATTATTTATTTATGTAAATAATAAATAATAGGAAAATATTACAAATAATAATAATAGTAATGAATAACAAATTTGTAAATTTTAATAAACAATTAGGTACTTACATTCTTAATAATATAATTTTTATAATATCACAAAATTCACTTCACTTGTTAATTAATTGAAGCACTTTGTTTTAATTAATTTATAATATATTAAATTTACAGATATATTTTTTATTTAATTAATTATATATATAGTGAAATTGATTAAAAGTTTTGTTTTTCCTTTTTCTTTTGCTTTGGGGGATGGCTCAACTGATGACGATGCGTTGATATGTTCTGAAGGGGTGGTTGGGATTCTGTCGCCTTATATAGGTATCGCAGACTCCACAGGAGATGGAAAAAAACAATACCTAATAACAAATAACGTTAAAATTGTCTTTTAAGCTTAATTTTACCATGGATCGTTTAATACGAGAATTAGAAACAAAAAGGAGGGTGAAAAAGTGAGAGTGAGGGAGAGGGAGAGAGAGAAAATAAATTTTCCATAAAAAATGTATCAATAAATAATTTATTGTTTGACTATTTTAATAAAAAAAAAATTTTTTTTTTGATAATTTTTGTAACTTTTATAGTTTTTAATTGTAAATAATTTAATTTTGCATAGAATTTTTAAAAAATAAAATAAATAATTGGAATTGTTTAGAAAAAAATTTTATTGAAACTTTTGAAAATAATAATTGGAATTGTTAAGAAAAATTTTATTGAAACTTTTGAAAATGATTAGAATTGTTTAAAAGAATGTTATTAAAACTTTTGAAAATAATTGAAATTGTTTCGAAGAATATTATTAAAATATTTTGAAAATTAATAAATTGGTTGAGAAATTATTTTTAAAAAATTTTAAATTCGAAAATAATTGAAAACCTAAAGTTGATATTTGAAAATGAAAAATTTTAAAAGGCTTTCTTCCTCGTTGGTAGTTTTTGTTATTTTGTCTCATTTTCCATTGAATTTAGAGTATTTTTCGTCTCGGATAGTAATTTTTCGTTGCAGTCATTGTAATCTCCTTGCTTGTATCGAGCCTCGTCAGCGTACGAATTTAAAATGCCAACAATTGCGTGTGCTTTCGCGTACATTTCCTCCACTGACTGGAAAAAAAATTGATAAAATTTTTTTTTTAATTTTTGCCTATAATTTTTTTATTTATTAAATATTTACAATTAATTTTGAATTTATTATAAAATTATTATTGAAGAGAAATTTTCCAAGTCTAAAAAAAGTCATAATCGATTATTTTCCATAATAGTTTTTGAAAATTTAAAAAAAAAAGAAAAATAATGGAAGAAAATGTTAATTTTAGGTAATAAAAATTAGTTTTTGGGGAATATTTTATTTTTGAAAATAGGGAAAGAATACCTTGGCATTCCTAAGACCCTTAACATCTTCTGTTTCGTAGTGTAGACGGTCGTAATCTTCTTGATTTAAAATATAACCCCGTTCCATGTCACTTTTCTCCTCTTCTTCCCTTAAAAGTGCAGAAATCTCTTCATCCGTCAGTGAAACCTACGAAGTGGTTAATATGTTAATTATTATTTTTTATTACTTTTATTATTGTTTTTATTTTATTTTTTTATTGTTACTACTATCTTGTTATTATTATTATTTTATTATTATAATTATTATTATTTATATAATAATAATTTATTTAATATAAATATTTAAAAGTAATAATAAAAATTCAAAATCGAAAATTTTGTAATTTTTGCAAAATTCATGCTCATTAGTTTTGAAAATGAAAAGAAATTCGATTTTTTAATTATTCTATCAATTATTTGTATTATTTTATAAAAATACAATTTCTGTTTCTGCTCCATTCGTTATTTTTTTTAAATGAACATTCTCCTCCTTGTCAAGTTCATCTTTCTCCGAGTTTGTTGCATTGGGATAAAGCATTCGATACAAAGATTTCCGTAGGCGAGTTAATTTTCTTGTTTCCTGTAATATAATATAGAAATAAAAACCGCTGCCAAGTTGTATATTTTTTTTTATAATGTTGGTGCTCATTTCATGAACACTTTGCTTCATCATAGAGATAGTAATAATAGAAATATATGAATAACTTTTTATAAATATGGTAAAAGTGATTGAATCTTGGGTCAATCAATGTATTTTTAAATACCCTACAAGATAGTTATAATAGAATAGATAAAAAAATTATAATAATCACAATAGTAATAATTAACGAAATTAAAAGATTTACTAAAAACGAAAACAAAAAAATTTTAAGATTTGAAAAATCCCGCGCTAGAATTAATTGCCAGAGGGCGTCATTGACTTTCTCGCAAGTGGTAATATTCTTGTCTCAAGTTACAGTAAAAATAAGAAACGTAACAATATTGATAAAAAATAATTATAGTAATAATAATAATATTAAAAAATAATATTTGCTATTTGTTAAAAAATATTTTTAAAAATTATTTTGTAATAAAAAATAAAAAATTACTGTTTATACCTTTTTACTTGTATTTTGAATTATTGATTCACATTGAACGTAAAGTTGAAACAAAGAATGTTTTCGAATATCTTCCGGAGCGTCTTGAATCGGCATCAATTTATTTAAAATCATTATTTTTGTTCTTGACAGTTCTTCTTTCTATTAAATAAAAAACAATTATTATTGTAGCAATTATAAAATTAAAATTAATAATTAATAATAATCCTACCAATTATTTTTATACAATAATATTAATTGTTAATTATTTAAATATTTTTGAGTAAAGGCTTATCGGTCTTGTTTTTTTAAGAAATGTAAAATTTATTTTTTTTTAAAATTTTTATTACAAATGTGTCGACGTTTAAAAAAAACACGACCGATAAGCCTTTTACTCAAAAATATTTAAATAAGTAATGGTCACTAACTTCAAGAATATAATAATAATTATTATTTTTATAGTAATTATTATTATTATTATTATTATTATTATTATTATTATTATTATTAATTTATAATTATTATATATTATTAAATTAATTAGTTAGAAACGAAAAAATAAATTTTTAAATTTGAAAAAGCCCGCTTACAGAATATGACAATAAGTCGTATATTAATTATTATTTTCTTATATTAATTTTTATATAATTATATACTTACTTAATTAATAATAAAAAATAATTATACATTTAAATATAAAAATTATAATTATAATAATTATTATAATAGTTTTTGTACAATAAAATAATAAAAATTTCAATAAAATGTATACATTTTGTGATACATAGTTAAAATTTAAGTACATTTAACCTGTAATTTAAATCGTACAAAGTTTGCCATTTCGTGAGCTTGCAAACGATATGTGACCCGCGTACCATTTTCTCACCCACTTTCTAAATTGTTGCGCGATATTTGAGACTCGAGACTTGCATGCCTACCCTATTCGCATATATAATATCAAAATAGCAATATCATGATTATCGATTATTTATTACTCTAGAAAATGGAAATTTTTATATTTAAAATAATACAAAAAGAAAACAATTTTTCAAAAATTTATTTTCTCGATTTTTAATTATTATAATAAATAATTAATTAAATTTTGTTTGCAAAGAAAACAATCATTATTTCATTAGGAATAAAAAATAAATGTGGTCATCCATAAAGCATGTGATAGTTAATTTCGGAAATTTTGTACCTCATTATTACCCTAGGGCAATAATAGACACTTTATTGACCTTGCTCATAGGTCAATAAAGTAGATGTGGTTTATATGGCCTTAGGTAAAACTTTTGATTTAATTGATTATTCGAGTGTCTAAAATCAAAACTTGATTTGTTTAATTTATTTATAAATGTTTAAAATTTAATTCTTTTTTATTTAAAGGACATATCTTCAGGAGCTGCAGGAGAGAATTTAAAATCTCAAGTCTTGTTTAAACTGGACGTAACAATTTTTTAAAAAAGAAACGAATTTTGCACGTCATGATATTTATTGACACCCCAACTGCCCTCTAATAATTATTAAAAAATTATTAGGGTCTAGTATTTAAAAAATTTTTTATTTTTCTGTAAAATTATTAAAAATTATTCTTTTTTATATAAAAACAACAATTTTGGTTAGATTGTGAGTCTAGTATTTAAAAAATAAATTTTTCTCCAATATTATTAAAAATTACTAAGTGGGTATTAAAAGTAATTGTTTATTAACTGATGTGTGTAGATAGTCTAGTGGTTAGCGTTCTAGTTTAGCGAGTTAAGAGTAAATGGTTCGAATCTCGACGGATGGAAGTAAAATTATTTATTGTCTTTTAAATAAGTAGTTATTCATCTTTTATTAAACACTAATTATTAATTATTAAAAACAATAAATTATTAAAAATAAATGATAAATTAAAAGATGATTAATTATTAACAAAAATAATTATTTATAAAAGAACAATTAGTAATTATAAGAAAATTATTAATTAAACATTAAAAATAATTTTTTAAATTGAATTAATTAAAATAATTTTATTTTTTATTTTTATTTAATAATAATTAAAATATTAATAAAAGTAAATTAAATTAAAAACAGTTAAAAAAATTACATTACTTTAAAAATAAAATAATTTAAAAAGTAGTTGAGTATTTGTATAAATAATAATGAAGAGTAGATTACCATTCTTTCTTTTATTCGAATTTGCTGTTGCGCTTCATAATCCTGTTGAATTTTAGACATTAATTTGAGCATGTATTTCCGATCTGTGAGCCTCACAATATTACTTCCCATTAACATTTCAAGTCTTGATTTCACCACAGGGTGAGTGATGCTGAAAGAAATTAGGATATTTAATTTTTGCAAAAATAGTAAATAAATAAAAAATATAATTTCAATTTTAATTGATTTGTTATGTTACATACAATAATTTTATATTTTATCTTATTTTCTTTTTAGTTAGTTTATTAATTTTTTGTTTATTTTCTCATTTATTTTTTCTTTTTATTTTTTTGTATTATTTTATTTGTTTTTACTATTTAATTTATTTTATTTATCAGGAAAATAAAGAAAACAAAAAACAATTCGAAGGAGAAAATCAAAATGTATGAATAAAACTATTAAAATTAAAATAAATTAGATAATTCATTAATTTTGTAATAAAATCGAAAATTTTATAAACATGTTTATTTTTTGTATTTTTGTTTATTTATTTAATCGAGAAAAATCACGCACACACTTATGAGCCTCAAAAAAGTTGAACTGATGCAAAAGCGCGACGTTCGTGACTGGTTCCAAACAAGCAATGAAATATTGCAAGTTTAACTATTGTATACATATATATAAGTATAAAAGTGATTTAATGCAACTAATGTATCTGAAAAATTCTATTAAAATCGTAAAAAAATCTGTGATTTATTTTTTTTCTTGCTCTCCATTAGCAAAATTGTTTATTAAAGGCTAATTTCCGGAGATAAATTATTTTCATTATTATTAGTAAATTATAGTGTAAAAAATATTTTAATTAATAATAAATAAATAAATTAATAAATAAATTACTAATACAAATATTAATAAAAATTAATAATGAAAAATATATATTATATACAATTATATTAAATATATAATATAATAAATTTTTTTAAATCTATTTGTTTTTATTAATAAAAAAAATTAAAAAATAACAATTAAACAATTAAACATTAAATAATTTAATACAGTAAATATTAAATAATTAATTTAATATAAATATAAATAATTTTAAAAAAACGATTTAATTATATTCAATTTTTAATTTGTTTAAACAATTTAATTACAAATAATCGTAAAGAATATAATAATAATGAGTAAATAAAATAAAAATAAAATATAATTATAAGTATTTAAACATAAACATTTATAAATAATTAAAGCAATTTAATTATATAGTTAATTATTAAATTGTTTTCAACAAATTAATTTTAATTAATTATTTACCTGGAATTATCGAAAGGAATAATTGAAAATAAAAAATAATATAAATGTTAATTTTGTAGAAGCAAAATTAATAAGGATTGATTTTGCTTTATTGAAAAATTTAATTTATTTATTTTCTTTTTTTTTTGTACCTGTTTTTTATAATAGTAATAAAAATTTTTGTCAAAGAGAAATTATATTTTTCTTCTGCTTTTTTTTTAGTAAATATTTCGTGTTTTATTGATATTTATTTAATTTCTGATAGGAGAGTGATTTATCCCAAGAAATAATGGGGTTGAAGGTGAAATGACAAGGCGATTTACGAGAACGCCATTTATAAGCTAATGAGATTTTTCTTTTTTATGAAATAATTATGGGAATTAGATGCCAGTGATATGTATATATTTGTCATTCCTTCGATATTACCGCATTCAAAATGCTCCTGATTGATTGCCAATTAGTTTTAATCATTATCGTGTTTCCCCTGTAAGATATGCGAATTTAATGCATTCAAGTAATTTTCATTTTCATGATAATTTTAAGGAATTATAAAATTATTTTCTTTAAACAGAAATTTGTCTCTTTGTTTTTACATTTAATGTTAATTTACCAAATTTAGTGGATATTTTGTGAAATTGAATGGAAAAATATTTATTAAAAATTTGTTAAGGAATTTAATTAAAAATTTTAAAAAATCCAATTTTCAATGAATTTAAATTTAATAATTTTAATAATTGAATTTCAATTTGAAATTAAATTTTTAAAAATTGAATTTCAATTATAAATTGAAATTTTAATAATTGAATTTCAATTTTTAATTGAAATTCAAATGATTGAATTTTAATTTTTAATTAAAATTTTAATAATTGAATTTTTATAAACATGTACTTAAAATTTTTTAAAATTATCAATTTATTAAAAGTAATTGAAATGTCTGAAATATTAAAAAATATTGTAAATATAAAAAATAAATGGAAAAATTTATAAAAGTAAATTGAAATGTTAAAAATAATTGAATTTTTGATAGAACTTTGTTAACTTAGTTCTATTTTTTAATGATAATTGAATTTTTATAAACAAGTAATTGAAATTTTTTTAAATAATTAAATTGTTTAACTAAAATTGGAAATTCCTAAAATTCTGGAAAATTTGGTTTTCTAAAATATTTTAGTTCTATTTTTAAAAGATAGCTAATTGAATTTTTATAAACAAATATTTAAAAAAATGTTTAATAATTAAATTTTTATTATCTAGTAATTTGCAATTTTTTAAAATAATTAAATTGTTTAAATAATTGAAATTTTTTAAAATTCTGGAAAATTTGGATTTCTAAAATATTTTAGTTTTATTTTTAAAAGATAATTGAATTTTTATAAAGAATTTTATTACTTTTGAAAATAATTGAATTTCTAGAAACAAGTGATTAAGATTTTTTTAAATTAATTGAAATTTCTTAAAATTTAATTTTAAATAACTGCATTTCTCAAAGACAATTTATTTTTATAGGTTAATTAAAAAAAAATGTTGAAAGTATAATTGCACTAGTAGTTGAAATTATTAAAAATATTTGAAATTTCTTAAAACTCCGTTAAAAATAATTGAATTATTAAAAATTAATTAAATGGAATTTTTTTAAGTTATTGAAATGTCTTAAAATTCTATTAAAACTAATTGAATTCTTAAAAAACAAATAATAAAAATTTTTTAAAATAATTGAAATTTAAAAAATTTTATTAAAAATAATTGAATTCTTAGAAATCAAGTAATTGAATTTTTTTTAATAAAGTAATTGAAGTTTAGAAAAATCTATTTAAAATAATTGAATTCGTAAAAAAACAAGTAATTGAAATTTTTTAAAATAATTCAAATTTATAAAAATTCTATTAATAATAATTGAAATTACTAACGAAATTTTATTTATTTAGTTATAATTTTTAAAGATAATATTTAATCTTTATAAACTAATAATTGCAATTTTTTAAAATAATTGAAATTTTCTACCTATAATTGAAATTTCAGAAAATTGTATGAAATGTAATTATTTTTTATAAAGAATTTTATTTATTTATAGTTTTATTTTTAAAGATAATTGAATTTTTAAAAATACATATGTAATATTGATTTCTTTTTAAAAATTGAAATTTTCTAAAATAATTGAATATTTTAAAATAATTAAAATTTTCTAAAATTCTACAAACATAAAATTGAATTTGTTTTTTAATTATATTTAGTTCGTTTTACTTAAAAAAAATTGAATTTTTATAAACCAATGATTAAAATTTCTCAAAATAATTAAATTTAGAAAAAAAAAATTTTTTTATCGAAATTTTTGAAAATAATTGATTTATATAATAAATAAGAAAAATAAAATAATAAAAAGTAACAATTAAAATTTGTCCACCTTTTTATCGTTTAGTAGTAGAAATATATTAGTAGCATAAATATTGTTTAAATACAATATTTTTCTAGCAAATTAATATTATGGATTAATTTTTTTTTTGTATTAAAATGAAATCCAGCAATAATTAAGATTTAATGTTGGCGTGAGAATGCGGAGAAATTGAATTTACTGTCAGGAGAATAGAATGAGCGCCTATTTTACTGTCGTGCATTTAATAGTGAATTAGGACCAAATAAAAATGAGGACATTTTGTGGGGAAGGAGGGGGGAGGGGGTGGGGAATAATATTTTGCTACATGCTAGATTTTGACAACGAATGTGGAACGATATCGGTTATTGATTGCAATACTAAATTCATCAAAACATACTAAATCTATATATAGATATACATTGTATAGTCTTCAGCATTTTCGAAGGTCGGATTTAATTAAAATTTACCAATAGGAACAAAAAAATTGCCGTTCCTATAAATTTACATTTTTTATTAAAATTTTTATTTTGTTTCTTTTTTGGCACTTTTACACTTTTTTTCTCGGTTATACAGTATTTATTATTACCCTAGGGCAATAATAGTCACTTTATTGACCGCTCGCTAGTTAATAAAGTAGTTATTATTAACCAAAGGCATTAATAGACACTTTATTGACCGCCCGCAGGTTAAATAAAATAACCATTATTAACCGAGGTCAATAATATTCACTTTATTGACCTGGCAAACAGATCAGTAAAGTAAATATTGTCCATTATTACCCTAGGGCAATAATAGGCACTTTATTGACCGCTCGCAGTTTAATAAAATAACCATTATTAACCTAGGGTAAAACTTTTGATTAAATCGATCATGCGACTCTAAAATCAAAACTTGTTTTGTTTAATTTATTTATAAATGTTTAAAATTTAATTCTTTTTTATTTAAAGGACTCATCTTCAGGAGCTGCAGGAGAGAATTTAAAATCTCAAGTCTTGTTTAAACTGGACGTAACAATTTCTAAAAAAATAAACGAATCTTGTAAATATGTTTCTGACTAAAATGGACATGCTCTTTTCATTCGTGCAGAAAAAGTTAATAAATTTCGTCTTTTAAAGAAAATTTGTCGATAATTAAATTTTCGGTCAAATAGGTCATTTTGAAACCAGATTTTTTTATTTTTTAAAGTCTCGCGAAAACTTTTAAGAGAAAATGTGTCTTTTAGTATCTCTACCTTCCCCTAAATTTTTTGGGTTTAGTAAATTAAAATTTTATTTTGTAATATATATTTTTTATTGTATTATCAGTTAATTGGCTAATTATATTTTTTATTTTATTATTAGCTAATTGACTAATTTAAAAATTTGATAAATTAAAAAAATTTTGTAATGAAAATTGAAAATGAAAATATATAATTAGCTAAATAAATTGTTTTTTCAACCTATATTTTTTCGAATTTTACTTTTTCAAAAATAGTGAAACAAAAAATTTTGTCGTTTTTTTTTAATTCAAGTAAATTCAATTGTTTTCAACGAACTTTGACCTGGTGTGATAAAATTAAGTAAAACGAGAAGTTATTTTATTTATTAGGGTCTCGAAATAAGTCTAAGAGGGGAGAAAATGTTTTTTCCTGTTCCATGAGAGAAAGGAAGGTAGAGAGAGGAAAAAAAGGAAAAATATGCAAAAATATTTATTTGAAAGAAGTTTAACTTGATAAACGATACTTTCTTTTTAAAATTCAATTATTTTTCATAAATTCAATTTTTTGAAATTTTTATTTCCGGTTCGTTTTCAAAATTATAAACACTGGTAATGACATCTGTTTTTATTTTCGGAAATTAAGAACTAAGATAGGGAAAGGTAGGAAGTGCTTTGATTGGAAAACTTAGACAAATACTGACATCTAGTGAATTTGATTTGAAAATTTATTTGACAAGACTGAAGATAATGTAGATTATCGATTATTTTCTCTTATCATTCGATGGAAATAGGTACTGAATATAAAAATATAAAAAAATATAAAAAATAAAAATAAAAAAATAAATAAATAATAAATAAATAAAATATAAAAATAGGTACTGAATATAAATTTTTTATTGTTTTTATAAAACAATAATTATAATAATAAATATTAAAAATATTAAATTAAAATAACAATAATTATAATAATTATTTATTTATTCAATTTTTATTGGGTTAGCGAACCTTTAGTTCATTGCATTTAATGAAAACAATAAACAAATTCTAAAATAAAAAAAAACACTTATGATATAATTACAATAATCTAACTTTTAATATTTCTTTTTCAAATTTTTTTTTTAAAATACTTCAAATTTTAAATTTAAAAAATAATTTTGAAAATAGTCGATTTATATGAAAAATGTTCGCACGTGAAGTTAGTGTTTTTTTATTTCAATTTTTTGTTTTATAGTTCGAATTGTTATGTCAAAAGTTTGACAGTTAATTTGTAAATAATAACAAAAGTGAAGTAAGAAAATGTAACCCAAATTTCAGAATCTCATTAAAGAGGTACAGATGCAATTTTTTGAAATAATTAATTACTTTATTTATTATTTTATTTATTTATTTAATTTTGGTTTAAACTTTCATAAACAATTTTCAAACGGTTTACATTGAAAGTATTTCAAAATTTTAAGCAAATAAAGAAAAATAAGTAGTATTTAAATATACCTATATTTTACAAAAATAATGGAAATTTGAAAGATTTAATTTGAAAATTCTGAAGAAAATTAGGTTTTTGAAAAATAGTTATTAAAACTTTTTCGAGGATATACTTGAATTTACGAAAATAATTTTCAAAAAATTGAAACAATTGGAAATTTTGTAAAATTTTATTAAAATAAATTTTATATTTTAAAGAATTTTATTTTTTCATCTTTAAAAATTTTCTATAAATAATATAATTTTATTTTTGAAAATACATTATTTTATGAATTTACAAAAATTATTTCATTTAAATAATTAAATTCTCGTAGTAAAATTCTAATAGAAATTGATTTAAAAAAAATTTTATTTAAAATTTTAGAAAATAATTGAATATTAAAAGCGTTATAACTGAAATTTTAGGAATTAATTAAATTTAAAAAGACTTTGAAATTAAATTGTTTGAAAATTTAAGGGAAGTAAAAGTATAGAAATATTTAAATTTTTATTTTAAGAAATTATGTATTAATTACATTATTTTTCTTTAAAAATTCTTAACGTTTTGAAAAATTTTATTCAAAAATTCGAAAAAAAATAATTCAATTTTAGAGGAATTACAGTTGCAATTTCTAGAAATAATTAAATTTCAAAAGGTTTTTCATTGAAATTATTTGAAATTTTAATTCTTGTGGAAAAATAAATAATAAGTTTTAAAATTTTTGTTTAACAAAAAGTATTTAAGTTTTGAATAATTTAATTTAGAAATTCCGAAAAATTTGTTTCTTAAAAAATATAATTACAATTTTTTAAAAATAATTCAATTTACGAAAATAATTTTAAATAATTGAAACGATTTGAAAATTTCGGCAAATTTAATTGAAATAAATTTGATATTTTAATGAATTTTATTTGTTTACTTTTTAAAATTATTTTGAAATAATCGTATTTTTGAAGAATTCTAATTGAAAATTTGAAAAATAATTCAATTTTAAAGAATAAAATTTATTACGGCAGAATTGTTCGAGTAGTGTTACTCGAAAGTTCAATTATTTAATCAAAAATATACATTCAAGTAGTTAGAAATATCTTGGCGATTTCTACACGATTCTTAATTTTTTTCAAATTTAAAGAAAAACTTAGAAAAATTCTATTTTTTTTAAAATGAAGAATTTCTGTTAAATTTTAAAAAGAAAATCTTTCAAAGTAACAAATGGCAAAGAAAATTTAGTTATGCTAAATTTTATTATTATCGTTTATGATTTTTTTAAACTATATTTTTTATTTATTATTTTATTTTACTTTTTGTTTATTAAATAGTTGATTCAAGTATATTTGTTCTATATATTAAACTATTCATTAAATAAAATAATTAAATAAAATTTATTTATGCTAGTTATTACAATAATAATTATAATATATTATAAGTATTTAATATTGTTTCAATATTATTAAAAATATTAATGTAAAAATTAATTTATTAATCAAATAATTTATTGAGTACATTAGTATTAGTTTATTGTTTTTATAATAAAAGAAGCCTAAAAATATTATAAAAATATATTTTTTTATTATAAAATAATTAAAAGACAGTTTAACAAAAAGCAAATATTCAAAGATTTATTATTATTATTATTATTATTATTATTATTATATTATTAAATTATTTTTTACAATTTTCTATATTAAACGTTCTTGTGAACTATAGTAAAGTACAATAAGAAAATATTAAAAAAAAATTTTTTTGAATTAATTTACTAAATATGTTAAAAATACAATGAAAATTTACTTGCACTCTATGAGATGATAATCAATTGGAGGCGTTTCTTTTTCATTTTCTTCTTTATTTTCATCCTGACGTGACGAAAATAGATAATGATATTTATCTTTAGTTCGAAAATTGTTCAGCCAATCTTCAATTTCTTCATTAAATTGTGGTGAATTTAATTCATTTTTGCCTGCAATCGAGACAAGAAGCTCCAATGTGGTCCAGAAACTTCCACAATGAGCCATTTTACCCCTTTTTGTATCAAACAAATTTCTTCTGTATTTTTTTTTTTTTTTTGAAAATATAAATGAAATTTTCTTCTTTTTCCGCAAATATAAACTCGTAAGTCGAAATTTTCTTCTCTTTTTTTACGTTAATATAAAAAAAGTCAAAACTTTTTTTGTCTTTTTTTTGGCAAATAGAAAACGAGTGAGAAAACAATTTTTGGATGAAGCAAAAAAAAAATCACAAATTAAAATTATTTTTTTTCTCTTCTCTTCTTTAAAAAGGTGTTAACAATTGCTTTCATTAAAAAATCGTACCACTTCCGTTATTACTTGTGGTTTTGTTGGGAAAAATTGATTGATGAAAAGTTTTTTGAAATTAAAAAAGAAGATTTTATAGAGAGAGAGAGAGAGATAGAGGGAAAAAGTACGAGGCTCACAAGTTGGAATTAGACGCACAGTATTAGAAACATAGTTGAACTCTGAAAACGTAAAGTTAAAATTCATTCGAGAGGCAGGAGGAGTTAGAAGTTAACTTTCTAGACAGGTAATTTGTAATAGTATGGAGAACCTTCAACCCCTCTTGGTTCATGTCATCCCCCTTCCTCTCCCCCCTCTAACACGCGATCATCATTTTTTTTATCCCATGTGAATATATAAAAAGGAGAAGTTGCCACCTTTTGATATAGGCTAATCGATAAATCTATAGAAACCAGAATGTCACTAATCATTTTTTTTTTTTTTTTGATAGAATTGTATATTAAGTTCTATGGATTTAATAAGGTCTAAGGTTTTAATAAATTCAAAGTGGAAAAATTGGTATTTTTTTCCTTGAGTCTAAAGTGTGTTTGGAATTTTTTTTCTTTCTTTCATTTATATTATAATAAATATTTAAATTCAGATAAATTTTACTTGAATCATCTAATTTTTGTTGTTTATGAATTTTTATTTAGAAAAAAAAATTGTTTTTTTAAAATAAAATTCAAATTTTGCGCGAAATTTTTGCCATTAAGCCATAGTGGCGCCTCCTACATTTATTTTATCGATTGAAAATAGAATAGAAACTCGTTAAATTTCCTGTTTTATATTTGAAAAATTTATTTCAATCAATTGAAATGTTTCTGCATCAAATAAACAGTGTTTATTTATTTTATTTATGTATTTATTTATTTACTTAATAAATATTTCAATTAAGATACATTTTTTTGCCTCTCATGAATTTTTCTTTAAATAAAAAACTATAAAAACTGTTATAAATTTCAAATTTCGCGCGCAATTTTTCAAATTAAGCAACAGTGGCGCCTTATTGATGAAGTAGAAATCTACTTTACCGATCGTGTTATAGAATGGAAAATCGATAAAGTTTTTTTTTATATTTAACTTTATTTGAATATATTTCAATGTATTTTTAAATCAAATAAATATTTGTTTATTTAATTTAGTTAGTAAATTTTTGAATTCAGATAAATTTTACTTGAATCAACAATTTTTTTGACAAATTTTTTTGACAAATTTTTTTGAATCAACTGTAATTTATTTATGACAATTATTTGTACATTTAGTTTATTAACTTATTAAATATTTTCCAATAATTATTTTATTGTTTGTTTACTAATTCTGTTTAATAAATATTTAAATTCATACAAATCTGACTAAAATCGACAATTTTTTTCTCATTTCTAAACTTTTTCTTTGAAAAAAACTAAAAACTTTCATAAAAATTCAAATTTCGCGCTCAATTTTTGACATTTAGCAACAGTGGCGCCATCTATTCTATCGATTGAATATAGAATGGAAACTCGATAAATTTCTTGTTTTATATTTTTGAAAAATTTATTTTAATCATCGGAAATATTTTTGTATGTAATAAACATTTGTTTATTTTATTTATTTATTTATATAATAAATATTTGAATTAAGATGAATTTTCTTGAATTAACAATTTTTGTGTCAGTTATAAATTTTTCTTGAAATAAAAAGACTATAACGAGTTGTATGAAATTTAAATTTCGCGCGCAATTTTTCAAATTAAGCAACAGTGGCGCCTTTTATTTCTACTTTATCGATCGTGTATAGAATAGAAACTCAATACATTTTTTTTTACTTTTGAGAAATTTATTTGTATCAAATATCGATCTGTTTATTTATTTTATTAGTTTATTAAATATTATTTTCATTTTTTTATTTTTATTATTTGTTTAATCTTTGATTTAATGAATATAATAAATATTTGAATTATTATTTATTTATTTCTTCCTCTTTCAAAAAATGCCAAAATAATAAATTTTTACAAAATTATTTTTGTTAATTCACTAAAAAAAAAATAATATAATAATAAATTTGTAAAAAATTTATAAAAAATTTGTTGTAGAAAATAATTTAAAATAATTTTCTTCTTATTATTTTATTAACTTACGCATATTTTATTGGTTCCTTTTCCCACCATTTCAATGGTGTTTCATTTGGATCTGCCAAAGTATTTCTAATAATTTCCCTAACTTGAAAATCATTTTCCTCTTTCTTTTTTCTTCTTTTTGGATTTTTCCTAAATTTTACACTATTGTCATTCTTCTCGTCTTTTTCTACTGGAATTTCAATTTCCTTTTTGGGAAATATTTTTTCTTCAACTTTTACTATTTTATTACTCGTTTTTCCATTATTTTTATTTTTAATTTCGAAATTCTTCTTCAATTTCAATTTTTTCGTATTATTCATTTTTATTTCGTTTTTTGGATTTGAGGTTGTTTTCAATTTTAAAGTTTTCCTCATTTTTTAATTTCTTTTTTAAAAATTAGTTTTTTGTTCTATTCTTCTTTTTGGAAAAAGAAATAAAAAATTTAAAAATTAACAGATTTTTTTTATAAATTAGGCCAAGAATTAGAAATTTGCTTCTTAAAATACATAAAAATTTTGTCAAAAAATTTTTCGATTTAATTTATTTTAACCTCATTTGTAAGTGTTAACATTTAAAAAAAAAAACAAAATCGTATTTTTCTGTTGTTTTTAGTAATTTAGAAAATTCAAGGAAATTATTTCAAAAATGTCACTTTATTAGGAATTTAGTTTAGAACTTTTAAATTACATTTTATAATATTGTCTTATGAAATTTATGTAGAATCTTAAAGAATTTTATATTATTCACTAATGCAACTAAAGAAAAATTCAATAATGTAAATTGTATAAATTATAAAAATTCTTAATAGAAAAAAATGTCTTTTTTCATGAATTTGTTATCAACATATAATAAAAGTTAGATACAAAAAAATTGTTGAAAAAATTTTCAAAAAAAAATTAAACTATCTTTAATTTTATTATCTATAGTATATTGGAAATAGTTCTTAAAATTTTGTAACATTCACTCCGTTTCTTATCGAATCAACTGAAGATTTTCTATTTTTAAGAATAAATTTTTTCCACTCTGCACGATCTTTTGAATCACCAGGACCCCATTCTTCAGATGGATTTGTGCCAATAATTAAATTTTCCTTCAATGATCCCTGTAAAGTGCAAAGAAAAAGTGTCAAAAAAATTAATTTATTTTTTGAATATTTAAAATTAATTAATTAACTAAAATTAATTAATTAACTGAAATTAATTAACCAAAATTACTTAACTAAAATTAATTAATTCACTAAAATTAATTAATTCACTAAAATTAATTAATTCACTAAAATTAATTAACTAAAATTACTTAACTAAAATTAATTAATTAACTAATATTAGTTCATTAACTGAAATGAATTAACTAAAATTAATTAATTAATTCAATTTTTTAGTAGAGAAATTGTAATAAAAATATTTTTCGAAAACTGAACTTTTAATTTACCTTTTTGCTAAAAAGATAGTAAATCATATATCCTGGAATGCATATCATACTGATTAAGCAGGAACCCCAACCAATTGCAATTGCCCATTCGGGATAATTAATTCCATTGTAACTTACCCTCGTGTTAAAAATAATTGTCGTGACGAATATAAACTGAAGTAGAATATATTTTCCATTAATTTTGCTTTATTTATTTTTTTTATTATTTTTTTTTAAATATAACTATACTTGAATTAGTAAAAATTACAATACTGATTTGTATTAATATAAAATGGTAAAAATAACCAAGACACTTACAGATAATATTGAGGGTGTAATATATTTCCAACAGAGGGGCCACCAAAAATGAAGTTTCTCTCCAATCATAAATTCCACATCTCTCACGAAATTTTCACAACCTTAAATGTAGAAATAATAATAATTTTTGCCACTTTTAAAGTAAATTTTGAAAAAAAACCCTTTTTCTAAAAAAAAAAAAATGGCACTTTTTATTACAAAAGTGCCATTTTCTAAGTAAATTAATAATTTAAAGGAAATTAAGTTTTGAGGCCATTTTCTTTTCCCAAAACTAAATTATTTTGTAACTCAGATATGAATATTTAATAGTTTCCCAGTATTTCGGTTTTTTGGAAAAGAACCATTTTTTTCCCAAAAAGAGCCTTTTTTATAAAAAAATGTGCCATTTTTTAACTAAATTAATAATTTGGGTAAAATTAAGCTTCGAGACCTTTTTTTTTTAAGAAATATTATTTTTTAGTTCAGAGATAAATATTAAAGAGTTTTCCAGTAATTCCATTTTTTCTCAAAAAGTGACCTTTTATCAAAAAAGTGCCATTTTCTAATAAAATTAATGTTTCGGTAAAATGAAGCTTCGGGACCATTTTATTTTCAGAGGGAAAAATTATTTTATAATTCGGAGATGAATATTAAACATTTGCTTAGTATCACATCTTTTCGAAAATTATCCTCCACCCCCCCCTTTTTTTAAAAGTGACATTTTTGCAAAAAATGCACTTTTTGAATAAAACAAAAAATTCCGATGTAATTTATTTAAAAAATAGTTTTAAATATTTTCAAATGAAAATTATTTTTAGTAATAATTACCATAAGTCCATCCGACAATTAATACTTCGACGAAGCAAATTAACATAACGGAGATAGAGGCTGCATACCAGTCGAATAATTGTAAAATGTACATTCCACCCTTAATGAAAATTCAATTAATTAGCATTTATATAAGAAAAATATGTTTTCTAAAAATATTTATACAAAAATAGAAATCAAAAATTTATAAATCCAAATTTATTAAAAAAAATATATAAATAGAAATTTATAATAATTTTAATAAACAAAAAATTATAAATGGAAATTTATAAAAATAATTATAAACGTATTTTATAGAAAAGAAATTCATAAAAAAAATTAGATAAATGTTTATAAGAGAGAATATAATAAGAAATTTATAAAATAAATTTCTTTTTAAACAAAAATTTATTATAAGAAATATTTAAATTTAATAAAAAATTTATTATTTATTAATTTTTTTACTTACATTAGTAACAAAAATAATTGATCCCAAAAACATGATAAATATCGAAACTGCAGTCACTCGATGCTTATGATTCCTCAATTTTGGATAGGCGTCAGTCACACTAGAAATAATGGCCTCTATTTGTACAAACTGTAAAAAAGGACTATCTTTGAAAAAACATTTTACTGATTTATAAAGAAAATAGTAGAAACAAAAATTGTTCAATTATTTTCAATTTTTGTATATTAAAAAACTTAAAAAAAACAAAAAAACAAAAAACAAAAAAAAAACTTTTTTTTTTAAAAAAGTTTAAAAAAAAATTTTTTTTTCTTAAAAACTTTTTTTTATTAAAAATTCAAAAAAATTTAGATTAAAATTCTTACGCAACTGTCCATTCCGAGTAAGTAAAGCATAAAAAAGAATAAAATCGCCCACAGTTGAGGAAAGGGAAGCATTGTAATTGCCTCTGGATATGTCACAAATGCCAGTCCAGGACCTTTTTGTTAAACAAAAAATTATTGTTGTTAAGTTAAAAAATAGTGTTTTTATTTTATCTAAACACTGACCAGGCTTGCAAATTATATATTTAATATTATTTTATTAATGAATATTAATATTTTATTAATTAACGTTAATATTTTATTACTTGATGTTAATATTTTATTAATTAATATCAATATTTAATTAATATTTTCTATATTAATATAAAATGATTTAACAATATTTTCTTCTTTATTTGTTTCAGATTGTCATTCGGGATTTTAAAAAAATTGTAGATTGATGTTTGAGATTTCTAACTTGACGATTTTTTCTATTAAAAAAAATTAAATATTAGAAATATTATTCATGAAAAAAAACTTACTTTTCATTAAAAAAAATTATATTTTTTGTCATTTTGAATTTTTTCTTTAAAAAAAAGTTTAAAAAATTTTATGAAATTCAAATTTAGCGCTCAATTTTTTAAAGTAAGCAGCAGTGGCGCCTTCTAGGTCTACTTTACCGTCGGTACATAGAATGGAGACTCCATAAAGAAGATTTTTTTTCAGATTTATTTGTTCCAAGTAAATATTTCCTTGAATCAAGTACTTACTTGAATGAAATAAATATTTACTTGAATCAAATAAATATTTACTTAAATAAAATATTTACTTGGATCAAATAAATGTTTCCTTAAAATCAAGTATTTATTTCAATCATTTAATATTGAAAGTAAGGTCTAAAAAATCGTGAAAATATTAAAATAAAAAAATTTTTCTTTTCTCTAGAATTTTTGGAAAATTTCTCAATTAACTGAATAAAGTAAAAAATATTTTGAATCGAACTTTTTATTATCTGAAAAAGTTTTATTATTGTTTAATTTTATATTTTTTTATCTCAAACATCAATTTTTTTTCTTTTTGTTTTTTTCCTATTTTTTGAGAGAGGGAAAGTGGGGGGGGGGGGAAGAAGAAGAAATTGAAGAAAACATTGGAGGACTAGCATCAACGAGTGAGTAAATTTTAAGTATTTCGTTAAATATCAATTAAATTTTTAATTATAATTTATTTAAAATTAAAATTTTTTAATATAAATAAAGAAAAAAATTAATTTCTTACCGCCAGTTGCAACACTTGAAACCGGAAGTCCCGTTTTGTAGGACATAAAGCCCAGAATTGAAAATACTACGAATCCAGCAAAAATACTTGTCCCACAATTTAAAATCGGTACAAAGATGGAGTCCCTGCATTTAATTTTATTTAGATTTTTAATATTAAAATTGGAATAAAAATTAAATTTTTAATTTAATTTAATTTTTAATTATAGAATAAAACATAAATTGAAGAAAATTATCAAAACAAAAAGAAAAAAATTATTTGGTTCAAATAACCGATTATTTGTCTATTTTATTGATTTTATTAAACAAATATTTCCTTGAATCAAGTATTTACTTGAATCAAATAAATATTTCAATAAAATACTTTTTCTGGAACAAATAAATATTTACTTGAATTTAAAAAATATTTCCTTGGATCAAATAAATATTTACTTGAATTAAATAAATATTTACTTGGATCAAATAAACAACATTTACTTGCATCAAGTATTTAATTCAATCAAAATAATTATTTCCTTGAGTTAAATAAATATTTCTTTTGAATTAAGTATTTACTTCAATCAGATAAATATTTACTTGAATTAAATAAACATTAACTGAGATCAAAAAATTTTTTTTTCATTTTATTAAAAATAATAGTTAACAGCAATAATAATAATAATTTATTAAGATTATTAGTATCTTTAAAAAAGTTATAATTTAATAATTTATAATTATTTTTTTAAAAAATTAATAATATTTTATAAATATTATTATAGATGATATTTTTTTTAAATTTGAAAATAAAAAATAATACTAGTAAATTACTTAACAATATTGATAAAAATAATGTAAAATTGGAAAAAAAATTATTATTGTTTAATATTTATTTAGAGTAAAATTATAAAAGAATAAGAGTTTATAAAAAAATTAGTCACATACATTCGATTGTTGTTCTTGAAAGGATTGTAACTTGCCATATTAACAATTCCACCCCATCCAGGGCCGAGTGAGAAGAATATTTGTATAGCTGCATCAGCCCAAACCTGAAATTATGATTTTTCAAATTTTTGGAATTATTAATTTTTTCAAAATTTTTTAATCTATTTTTTTAGAAGTAAAAAAATTAAGTTATTATTATTATTAATAATTATTAATTAGGTAATAATAATAATTAATAATAATAATTATTATTTGTATTAATAATAATAATATTATTATTATTAATAATAATATTATTATTAATAATAATAATTATTATTAATAATAATAATTATTAATAATTAATTAGTGAATAACTAATTAATAATAAAATAATAAGAATAGATTAATTTCGCGACTTTATACTTTTAGAAAAGAAATAACACTGAAAAAATAAAATTTCACTTAGGCGAGAATCGAACCCGCGCCACTTGATTCGAAGCCAGGTACGTTGCCACTAGGCTAATGTCACCACCAGTAGTTATTTTTGACTTTGTCGAAATTTTTACTGTTTTTTTTAAAATTTTTTCGTCTCTAAACTATTATTTTTTCTCTTTTTGTAATTTAATTTTAATTATTTCTTTATTTTTGTAATTATTTGAATTAATTACCTTAAGATTTGTTAATTGAGACCATTCGGGAGAAATGTAGAATAAAATTCCGTCCATCGCTCCGGGTAATGTGATTCCGCGTATTAGGAGAACAAAGAGAATAACAAAGGGGAAAGTTGCAGTAAAATAAACAACCTAAAAATATATTTTTTTTTTTGAGAATTGTTTTTTTTATAATTAAAAATACACGAATAGGCAATGAAGTAAAATATAGTTTTCTCTATTTACCTTGCCGACAGTTTTCACGCCATTACAAATGCATAGATAAACAATAATCCACGATATTAAATTACAGACGAAAACTGGCCACACAATACCTCCAATTTCATTGATTCCACTCGATATCTGTAGAATTTCGTTACTAAAATTAAAAAAAAATAATTTTTATAATTAAAAAAAAGTTTATGGTTACAAAGAAATTTGAGAATTTAAAAAAAAAATTGTTATAATTAGAAAACAATTGTTAATTAAAAAAGTTTTAATAATTGAAAAATAATTATTAATTTAAAATTTTTTTATAATTAATTAACGAGTTTTAATTAAAAAATTTTAATAATTAAAAGACAATTTTTATTTAAAAAAATGTTTGACTTAAATAAATAATAAATAAATAATAAAAAATTTTTTTTTATGTTAACAATTAAAAAACAATATTTAATAGTTCTTTTTATAGATTTATAATTTAAAACAATTTTTTATTTTATTTATTAACTAAGAAAGTGTCAATGATCAAAAATGTTAATTAAACAATTTTTTTTATACTTATACATTTTTAATCTAAAACAATTTTTTTATTTTTTTTTATTGATTAAGAAAGTTGCAATAATTAAAAATGTTAATTGAATAAATTTTTTGAATAATTGAAAAGTTTTTTTTATAATTTAAAAAAATCATGATAATTGAAAAGTTTTAATAATTTTATTAAACTTACTGAAAAAATTCATCGGCAGGTGTTTTTGCTTTTAAATTTCCTATTTGACTAGTTGCGTTCCTGTGACCTTGAATATCACCGCCCAGCTACAAAAAAATATTAACTATTTTTTAATTTTTAATTACTAATTTCTGAAAATTTAATAAAAAAATTTTAAAACATATTTGAAAACTGTTTTTTTTGACATTGGTTTTTTTTGTTCTATAAAAATCGATTTTCAGATATATTTTAAAATTTATTTATAAATTTAAAAAAAGTTTTTTTATTTTTGAATTTTTTAATTAAATTAAAAAAAAAAATTTTTCTTTTAGACTAGTTTTTAACTAAAAATAATAATAATAATAATAGAACAAATAATAATGTAACAGTAAAGTAATTGTAATAATAAAATAAAATAACATTAAAATAATAATGAAATAAAAATAAAATTGTAATTAAATTATAATAAATAATAAAATATTAATAAACTAATAATAATAAACAAACTTTTAGGCAGTTTTCACTATTCCACGGATGGTCACAATCACTCCATGGTAATTTATTTTTAATTGACATTGCCATAAATAATAGTGGATAGGCAATTATCACATTATAGTACATTGTGCAAATTAAATTTACTATAACAATTGCAAAACCTGCCCCTGTAATTAAAAAAAACATATATTTGTGTAAAATTACTTTTTTTCGATAACGCAATCGGGGTAAAATGGCATTAACTTCGAGTGAAATTTTATACATTTTTTAGGGGTAAATTAACATAAATGTGGGGTAAAGTGTCACTAAAGTTGATATTTTTTATACTTTTTGGGGTAAATCAAGAGAAAAGTGGGGTAAAGTGTCACTAACTTGGAGTTGAATTTTAAAACATTTTTTGGGGTAAATCGACACAAAGGTGGGGTTAAGTGTCACTAAAGTTATATTTTATATACTTTTTGGGGTACATCAAGTCAAAAGTGGGGTAAAGTGTCACTAACTTGGAGTTGAATTTTATAACATTTTTTGGGGTAAATCAACACTTGGGGTAAAATGTCACTAATTAGACGTCATATTTTACATACTTTTTGGGGTACGTCATAACAAAAGTGAAGTAAAGTGTCACTAACCTAACGTGATATTTTATACACTTTTTGGGGTGTATCCGCACAACAGTGGGGTAAAGTGTCACTAACTTGGTGTGAAATTTTATAAAAAATTTCGGGTGTAAATTAACATAAAGGTGGGGTAAAGTGTCACTAACGTGATATTTTATATACTTTTGGGGTTAAATCAACCTAAAGGTGGGGTAAAGTGTCACTAACGTGATATTTTTAATACTTTTCGGGGTAAATCAACACAAAATTAGAATGAAGTGTTACTAACTTGGAGTGAAGTTTTTAACCTTTTTGGGGTAAATAACCAGAAAGTTAGGGTCAACTGTCGAAAAGTCTAGAGGGGTAAAATGTCACTTTCTGGTATTTTAACATTTTAACCCCTCCTTACTTTGACAGAACTTTTTAAAATAATTATAAAATAGTTAAAAATAGTACTAGTTTTAATAACATTGGGGTAATATGTACAAAGTTTCTTGAACACATTGAAAATTTTTGTTTTTAATTACAAAATTAATGAATGATATTAAAAAAATGAATTAAAATGAAATAAGACAAAAATTAATAAATGAATTAAAATTAAATAAAACTGAAAATGAATAAATTAATTAAAATTAAATAAAACTGAAAATGAATAAAAATTTAAATATAAAAACCTTTAAAAATGGGACTCATTCGAAAGAGTGTTATACAACCGGTACTGCTAAATTGTCCCATTGATGATTCCATAAAAAATAATGGAATGCCACAAAAAAATAGCATCAATAAATATGGTACTAGAAAAGCTCCTGAAATTGAAGGGAAAAAAAAGTAATTAATAAAAGTGTTTATTTTCTTTAAAAAAAAAATAGAATTCAAAATATTCTCCCTTTCTCCTCTAAAGATATAGAATTTAAAATAATGTTTTCTTTTTCCAAAAAACAATATCTATATATAATTAGAATAAAGGAAATTACCTCCTCCATTTCTATAACACAAATATGGAAATCTCCATACATTTCCTATTCCAATTGCATATCCGGCACACGACAATAAAAATTCCGTTTTACTAGCCCAATTTCCTCTCTCGGGCTCGAAATTTGTTTCATCCTTTATCTTCTTGTCGATTAATAAATTAATCTTTGTCGTTTCGTTGCAGTGATAATTTTCACTTGAAATTTCCTCATCTTGACATTCGTTCTTCATTTTTTTTTTTAAATATGCCTGGCAATAAAATTTGAATATTAGAAAAAAGGAAAATGACAATTTTTTCTAATAACAATAACAATAATAAAAGTAATAATAATAATACTAAAAATTGGAAGAGAAGCAGGCGCAAAACGCCTACATCTAGGGTTTCGTTGCATTTAAAAAGAAAATCCTGTTTTGGTTATCATAAACCATTGTGGTTAAGACTGACTGACTGATTTGGGATCTATAGTGCCCCAAATTTGGGATCTATAGTGCCCCAAATTTGGGATCTATAATGCCCCAAATTTGGGAACTATAGTGCCCCAAATTACGACGGACAGACGGACGGACGGACGCCAAAGTGAAACTATAAGGCTTTCGGCCATGGGCCACGAAACCCTAAAAACTGGGGTAATGTTTACTGAAATTCGCTTTTTAACTTTACGTTATGGTATGGTAAAATTTACCATACCATAAAATTGGGGTAATGTTTACTGCAATTCGCGTTTTTAACTTTACGTTATGGTATGGTAAAATTTACAAGAAATTTGGTTGAAAATTTGTACTCATTAGTATGGTAAAATTTACACAATGTTTTTGGTGATAATTTAATTTTACAAAAATACTATTTGTCAGTATATGGTAAAATTTACTGTATTTTTAAAAATCTAATTTAAAGTTAATATTCTTTAAAATTAATATACTTGGCAGTATGGTAAAATTTACTCTACTTTGAAGAGATAATTTAATACAAAATTATTAACATCTTTACTTACCAGTATGGTAAAATTTACTTTATTTTCTTAAGAGATAGTATAAAATATTGCTACAACTTTTATTTGACAGTATGGTAAAAATTACTTTATTTTTAAGAGATAATTTAAACTTTATATTCGCCATTTGTCAGTATGGTAAAATTAAATTTACTTCTTTTTAGAAATAATTATTTTAAAATTATTAAGACCTTTATACTTGTGAATATTGTAAAATTTACTCTATTTTTTTAAGAGAAAATTTAAAATTACCACAATCTTTACTTGCCAAGTTTGGTTATATTTACTTTATTTTTTTAGAGATAATTTAAAGTTACTAAAATCTTTGCTTGGCAGTATGGTAAAATTTACTGTATTTTTTGTGATCTAATTTAAACTTAATATTCTCCACTTGTCAGTATGGTAAAATTTACTTTACTATTTTCAGAGATAATTTAATTCAAAATTTAATTATTAAGACCTTTACTTGACAATATGATAAAATTTACTCTTCTTTATTACTTTTTAAGCGATAATTTTTACTTGATATTCGTCATTTGGCAGTATGATAAAATTTACTTTACTTTTTTTTAGAAATAATTCAATTTAAAACTACTAAATTCTTTACTTGGCAGTATGGTAAAATTTACTCTATTTTCTTAAGTGATAATTTAAAAATTACTGAAACTTTTATTTTACAGTATGGTAAAATTTACTCTACTTTTTAAGAGATAACTTTTACTTAATATTCGTCATTTGGCAGTATGATAAAATTTACTTTACGTTTTTAGAAATAATTTATTTTAAAATTACTAAATTCTTTACTTGACAGTATGGTAAAATTTACTCTATTTTCTTAAGAGATAATTTAAAAATTACTAGAATCTAATCTAATTCTAAAATTAAAAATTACTAAGAATATGGTAAATTTAACTTTTTAATTGTTAATTTTTACTTAATATTCGTCACTTGGCAGTAGGGTAATATTTACTTAACTTTTTTCAGAGATAAATAATTTAATATAAAATTACTAAAATCTTTACTTGCCAGTATGGTAAAATTTAATTGAATCAATTTTTTTCAAATAATACTTGGAGGTTTTGTTTCGGAATTTTTTAAAAAAAATTTACTTATCAATGTACTCTTTTACTATCTTACATTTATCGCATTGGTTACTTCACCTGCAGTTTGCATAATATTTGTTAAGTTCATATAAAGGGACGGTTACTGTGATTGTAAGGAAGTAGGTTATATATGACGAATTGTCAGAGTAATTTCCATTTCAACACATCTCTCTTTCTCTCTCTTGTTATAACAGTCACTAAACATTAAAATTTCTGGCGCCAAAAAATAATCTTATATTTTTATCCCCTTTTTGGACAAATTAAAAAAAAATTTTCCTGATTTTTCAAATTAAAATTAAATTTCAATAAAAAAATGAAAGATAATTAAAAATAAAACATTTTCTGAATAATAATAATTATAATAATAAAAAAATAATAATAATAATAATAATAATAATAATAATAATAATAATAAATAAATAATTAAAATTAAAAAAAATAATAATAAAATTTAATTTTTATGTTATATTAAAAATTGCAATATAGTAGTACAGTAAAATTTACCATACTGATGTGAAAAATTGCATTATAATATAATAATATTTTTGTTAGATTTATATTTTAATAATAATTTAATAATATTATTATTAAAAGTAAAATTTACAATACCTACTAGGGAGTAAACGAATTAAGAAACAATAGCTACTGCAAAAATATAATTTAAACTATCTAAACTATAAATAAATAAATTAACCTAAAATAAAACAACTAAAAAAATTTTAATATTTATTTTTAGAAATATTTAACACAATAAACTTAATTTATTAATAATTGAAAATTACTGTATAATATAATTATTATAATTGCTACAATACAATTATTATAATAATTATTTTAAGTATAATAGTAACTATATTAAATATTAATAAAATATTAAATAAACAAAGTAATTATTTAATTAACTAATAAATGAATTATTGAATTAAATAATTAAATATAGAAGTTCTATTATAATTAGTATAATGCAATTATTATAATTAATACAATTATCAAAAATTATTAACCGTACGTAAATTATAAATATTTATAAATTTATTTATTTATGGAAAATTTAATATTATTATTATTTTTATTTAGTCATTTTATTTTTATTGTTAAATTGTAGAATTGAAATAGATTAAAAATAGAAAATAAAATAGAAAAAATACAATAATAATAATAGTAATAATAATAATAATAATAATAATAATAATAATAATAATAATAAATTCTGTATTAATAACTTAAATATTTATTCATTACTTTTTAATAATGATTAATAATCAATTTCTTTTGGATTATTTATAATAATAATTGATTTTTAATAAAAATAAAAATAATAATAATAATAATAATAATATGATAATAAATAATTAAAGCAATATCAATAAAATATTTTTGATAATATAACTATTATTTTTTTTAATTCATAAGTAAAATTTACTGATTTTTAAACTTTTATATATTATTTTCTCTAGGTATTAAAAATTTTTTTCTTACCGTCGTCGTTTGTTTATTAAAAAATTTCAAAACACTTGGAATAATTTTTTTAAATTTCCAATCACACAAAATCTTCCATTTTTTTTTGGTTTTTCCTTTCTTCGATGTGATAAGAAAATATATTCAAGTAATTAATAACTTTTTTTTAGAAACTTTATTAGACATGGAAAAAAGTTGTATTTAATTATTTTTTATTTATTTCTTCATTTATTTATTATTTTGTTTATTTATCAAATGTTCGATTTTTCTTTAATAAATAACAAATAAATAAAATATTTATTGTTTCGTTTATTTATTGAATATTCGAATTTTTCTAAATAAATAAAATATTTATTGTTTCGTTTGTTTATTGAATGTTCGGATTTTTTTTAAATACATAAAAAAATTAATAAAATATTTTTTGTTTTATTTATGTTTTTTTATACTGTTTTTTTTTGTTACAACCGATTTTAATATTGGTCATCAGAATCTTGTGGACCATTTGAATGACAGTTCTCAACTGCCCTCCATAATACACACATCATGTAATCACTAAGCTGACGAGAGGTAACAATATATAAATAGAATAACGTGATTGCAAGTGATTATGATGATAGGTTAAATTTCGACTCATCCCAATATATAAAGGGATGCACCTTTTTAGTCTCACTTTTAAGAACATATCATTATTTTTTATTGTTTGAGAAAGAATGATTATTATCTCCTTAAAATATAATTCATATTCATTTAGTGTATTTAGAAACCCTTCAGAATGATAATATAAACATTATAAGTGTTTCGAAAAAAATACTATTAGAAATACTTTTTTTTTATTTTCTGCTATTACTATATATAAATTTTATTTTTTATAAATAACTTTTCTGTATGTCAAAATAGTTATTTTAATATATATTTATTTATTTATTTGTTTTTAAATATAATTTAAGGCGTAAAAGAAGTTAACTTTAGTCGATTGAATATTGGAAAGAAAAATCGAAAAATTCGATATTTAAAATATAAACAAAATATTTGTAATAAAATAAAATATTTGTTTCATAATTATAAACAAAATATTAAAATATAAACTGAATATTTTATTCAGTGATGTCAGGAAAATTTTATTTTTTATTTCCCACTTACTTTTTACTGATTCAATTATTTAAAATAATTTTAAATAATAATAATAATAATTAGGAAAATATTTTTTTGTATTTCCCACTTTTCACTGATTCAATTGCTTTAAATAATAATAATATATTCAATTACTCAAGACTTCAATACTTTTGCTACATAAATATTTAAATACTATAGTTATTTATTTTTCTACATTTATTTTTACAAAAATTAAAATTTGGAATATTTCGAACTTTCTCAAATTAAAATTATTTCTAAATAAAAAACTGTAAAACTACACAAAATTTACCAATTTTCTACAATCTAACTAAAATTTTTGTTGAAATCAATTATTTTTAATAATTTTCCGAAACTTTCTTGGTGAATTTAATTAAATAAAAAATAGAAAAATTTAAAGTTTTAAACTAATTGTACCTGTAAATCTTTGTTTTTTTTAGAAAGTTGTTAAGGCGAATTATTGAATGTAACTGGATGGTATGGAAGCTTGCAAGAAGCTTGCGGCAAGCTTCACGTGAAAACATCGAGAGAATTTAAAATCTCAAAGACTTGTTTAAACTGGACGTAACAATTTCTAAAAACGAAAAGAATTTTAAATTTAAATTGAATATTTAACCAAGATTTAGAATTTTATCAAGAAATAATAAATACAAATCGAGAAAAGTAGATATTTTAGAAAAAAATTTATTTCCTTATGGCAATTAATTGAAATTTAAAAAATTATTAAAAAAAAAATTCGAAAATAAAAAATAATTTAAATTTAGTAAAATTTTTGGAAAATAATTGAATTTTATAAACAAATTTATCGAAAATATTTAAAAATAAAAGTTTTTAAATAATTTTAATTGTGAAATTAATGAAAATATATTAATTTTCCATAATTTTAATTGAAAAGTCTAAAAAAGTAAATTGTTAAAAAATGGCAATTTCTTTTTTAAGAATAAATGAATATTTAAAATTTTTAAAAATAAGGAACAAAAATTCCAAAAATTAAAAAATAATTTAAATTTTGTAAAATTTTTGAAAAAATATTCAATTTTCTAATCGAAGTTTTGGAAAATATTAAAAAATAATCAAGTTTTGAATAATTTTAATTATAAAATTCATGATTTTTCTATAATTTTAATTAAAAAGTTTAAAAGAGTAAATTCTTAAAATCTGTTAATTCCTTTTTAAAGGCATTTAAGAATTTTTTTAAATATGGAACAAAAATTTCAAAAAATAAAAATAATTTAAATTTAGTAAAATTGTTAGAAAATTATTGAATATTATAAACGAATTTTTCGAAAATATAAAATAATTCAGTTTTTGAATAATTTTAATTTAAAAATTATTGAAAAATACACAAATTTTCCATCATTTTAATGAAATGTCTAGAAAAGTAAATTATTATAAATTTTTCTTAAGGATAATTGAATTTTAAAAAATTTTGTTAATAAAACTCTAAGAATCAAATTTTTAAAAATATCGTACTATAATTTTTTAAAAATAATCAATAATAAATAGTTAATAAATCACTTGAAGAATAAATTATTTTTAGTAAAATTTGGCAGGACTTTAACTATTTAAACAATTTTTGAATCAAATATTTAAAAAATTTAATTATGTTAAAAAAGTTATTAAAAAAATCAGTTTTTGAAAGATAATCTTAAATCTCTCATTATTCGCTTCATTCGGTGTTCCTCTATTTGTTTAAAGTTTTATTTTCTTGAAATTTATTTAAAATTTTTATTAATGTTATAATGTAGGGTTTATTTCTTAACTGACATTTGATAAAGAAATTTTACTCGTTTATCAATTGAGAAAAGTTTCTCGGTTTGTCGAATAAAATTGAAGAAAGAACAAAATTCCTACCTTATCAAAGAACAATACATTGTTTTATCAGTTGAGATTGAAATATTGATTTTTTCCATTACAAGCTTACTGAATTGTACGCAATTTTTGCCTCTGAAAACTTAAATCAATAAATCATTAATTATAAATTTTTAATTATAAACTTCTAAATTATTAATTATAATTTATAAACTATAAATTTATGAATGATTAATTTATGAATTATTTTTGTAGATATAAACTTATTTAAATGTAATTATATAAATTGTGAATTCATAATTTATAATTTTATAAATATTACAAATTATACATTTATAAACTATAAATTTATTAATTATAAATTTATGAATTATAAATTTACAAATTATAAATTTATAAATATTGCAAGAAAAATTAATTTGTAAAATAAAGCTTTTCTTAATTTAATCCAAATTTTAGTATACATATTGCAAAATAAAAATTAATATGTCAAATTTTTTTGAAAATTTTTAAATTAGAATATTTAATTCATTTTATATATATAAAGAAATACAAAAAGTGACGAATAAAATAATTTTTACAGTTTGTAGATTAGAAGATTGAAATAGTAACAAAAGTTCCATGATCCATGATTTAAATGCAAATAATTATTCCGATATTTTTTAAAAAATATATATATGTTGTACGATTAGTCTCAAAACATTTTAATCTCAGCATCAAAACGAATTATTATTTTGCGTAATACCTTGTTAAAAAGCGATAAACGATGAGTGGGATTTTCTCGGTTTAAGTAGCTTTATCAGTAATTCTACTCAAAAATAAATTCATTTCCCAAAAAAAGAAAACTAAAAAACTAGAATTTATTTTATTAATGTAGAAAAAAAATCAGAAGAGTATTATGAAATTAAAATTTTTATAAATTATAAATTATTAGTAAATAAATAAAAAAATTTATTTGCAAAAAAAGAAAACACAAGAATTTATTTTAATAGAAAAAAATCCAAAAAGTATAAAATTAAAATATTGCAGTAATAATAACGAAGTTTACTAATTGATAAATTAATTAGTTAAATAATCTTTAACGTCCGAGCAAATGAAACGAAAACATTCGTTTTCGTCTGAATGTTGTCGTTTTATTTGCCTTAGTTGATAAATTAATAAATAAATTTTTTTAAATATTTTAATAAATTTTACTGTTAAAAAAAAATCTTTAAAAATATGTTCAAAAGACGTAGACTGTTCCCACAAATAAATAAAAAATAAATTATAATAACGTCCGAGTGGTTTGAATAATAAGAAAAAGGAAGAAAAAAAATAATTAAATTTTCAAAAGATGTAATGAAATTCTTTTTGCGACTGTTTCGTTCTCTTGTTTGCCATGCACACAATTGCTGAGCACAATTGGAGAAAAGGGTCTATATTTTTTTTCGTATATATATAAATAAGGTGGTGGGAAGTACATAGAATTGGTTTCAGCCTTGCTCGAGAACCGATCATATGGCTGATAAACGTGTGAACAGTTCGGATTGCTCCTCAATAATTCATACCAAACGCGACACAAACTATCAACTGCGGTGTCCGCATTCTGAAACTGACCATCGAGTTTCTGAAACCGCACATTGTTTCACACTTTGGTGTTACTTATTATTTTTTTGTTCCTCTATTTTGCCTTTTTGTTCTACACGACAAGATTCGCATTTATTTTCCCCAGAAAGAAAAGTTATTAGAGTGAGACAAAAAAATTACTAAAGGGACAAAACTGTTATTAAAATTTTAGAAAAGTTCCTAGAATGTTATTACTCTTATTATTAATATTTTTATTATTATAATTATTCTTAATATTATTATATTATTATTTTTAATATATTTACATTTTAATTTACTTTCAGATAGTACGGAAGCTTACAAGAAGCTTGCAGCAAGCTTCACGTGAAAACATCAAGAGAATTTAAAATCTCAAAGACTTGTTTAAACTGGACGTAACAATTTCTAAAAACCAAAAGAATTTCAACTCTAAATTGTATAATATGAAACAAAATGCTAATTTATTATGAAATTATAAACAATAATCATAGTAACTTAACTAACAATAATAATACTAACTTCTTACTTATTTTATTAAATAAAATTAGCAATTTAAATAATAATAGAATTGACAAATTTTTAATTCAAATTATTTTTTATAAAAATAAAATATGAATTGAAATATAGTTTTATTACTACTATAACTATAATAATCATATATTCTGAGACAGGGAATTCAGGGAAAAGTCAGGGATTTGTAAAATTAAAAGTATTGAA